ATTTCAGTAAAACTGTTACGTATTTTTAAACGTCGATACTTCGCAGATTTTTTATTCGCGGTAGCAATTGAATGAACAACTTAAAACCACTCTTGTTACCTCGAAATAGGAATGCTATTTATGGATAAATTGAACGTTCTATTGACTGAAATTCCAGTGTACAGCTTGCCGATTCTCCCTTCAATAAATACAATACTCGAACAGATTAAGACTTTCAAAACAGTGATTAATAAGCTTTCAATTGCAATAAAGGTTGATTAATTTATTTCGATTGTCAAGATATACCCGATCTGAGTAGTTCTTAAACATGTTCCTCCATTTAAATGTTTAAAAATAAGTAAAAGTATCGGTAACATTTTTAAAAATCTACCACGAAATTCTATACAGCGAGAATTTTGTTTTCTTGCCTCGACCCTACTCTGGCCTGATCACACATCATGAACAATTTACTGGCAGTTTATTATGAAAGCTGTTGGACGTGACCGAAATGAAGATGTCTAGATTTAAAGATCCCCGATACGCAAACGTAAATAACGATACTCTTGGTTAAGTATATTGTTTATGACACTTTAACAATAGGCTATCATTATGTCAATGTTTAGGGGTTTGCAGTAAGAAAGGGGTTATGAGTAAGGTCTCTGTAACATAATTAATTAATTATAAAACTTGTTGAAGTTCTAATTATTTTTATATCCTCTCCTAGTTTTCATTTGGACTTCAATACTGCAAATATTAAGTACCTAGTTCTATTTAAGCACGTACAAAATGTTTGTACGTTCGTATTCCGTGAACTGGCACTCGCACGTCGCACGTCCGTCGTTTATCCGATTAAATTGAAACTTTGTTTAAGTAGTCGTTGTTGGCATTTGCGTGAAAGTTAGTCCAAGTCAGTACAATAGGCGTCGAGTCCTGTGGGAGGCATATCAACGAACGCGAGGTATTAAATTGTTTTAATCAGTTAGATTTACTAGATTGCCCAATACCAGCTTTACTCATCTAGCAACTAATAAAGGAGTATTTAGTAAATCAATAGTGAAGAAACTCAGTTATCAAGTTATTTTGAAAATCGTTTCATTTCTTGTTGTCGTCATGGAAACCATTTTCATATAATATTGTTTTGTGTTTAATTGTTTGTTGATAATTGCCCCAAAGCTTACAGCATCGTTATTAGGCCCGAGTAATTTATACTAACTTGAAATAAGTCTTTGAGACTGATAAGACACTTTCTTGTAGGTAATAATCGTGTCAGAGTGACGAAGGATCATTTGTTAGGCTTAACTCCTGAACAACGTATCAAACTCTTCGTTTGTTAAAATAATACATTATGTACTATTTTCAGTCATAATAATAAGTATGACGGCTTAATATGTACGAACCTACATTCATGTGTCAGAAATTTTAAAGACTTAGTTTATGGCAAAATAATACACAATTTCGCAGTAATCGAAGATGTAGGCCGTGAAGTAAAATAATAGTCTGCCCGAAAATAATATTGTATTAGAATCCATATATTATAATGTACATATAGTATATTAGAGGAGATAAATTAGTCTTCCTGTGGTAAGATGGTACAGTTGAAACCCCTGTATTATTATACTCCATACACATTAACAGATTCAACCGCTTCAGAGTCATATGCATATCTAATATTCAATAATTACACTCAATAGAGTGTAATAGTGGTAATAACCACTGATTGAATAATTAATCAATTATATTATCACCTGGTCCTGCACATAGCGTAGGTATATTTGTTGAAATGGGCGCTATGAATACTATGCTACAAAGATTAAATTTGGACTTCCCGAACCCGAGTAACAATTATCACACAACGTCACTAACTAGAAATATAACGAAACCAATCGTAGCAGAACAATTATTTATCACTGTTCCTCTCTGCTAACGATGCCGGTGGACCGTTTGAGACACGTCGGGATTGTACGTAACGTATATCGACATTCTGCGCTGTGAACGGTTCCAACTGCCGTACCCATTATATCACGTTTATACATTTTGTTTTTTCACGCAGGTAATTTCCAGTCCGGCTCCCGCCCGACCAATAAACATTTCATGCCGTACCTACTTTTCTTTATCAAGGGGCCATGGCAAACAGATTCGGCCGGTTGAGCTTTCAAAAAATTTAACATAAAACGTTGGATGTTAAAAAAGTTCATTTTATCTTTTGGTAACAGATCGTAGATAATTATTTCAAACTTTTTAAGCAAAACGAGGTCAGCGTGAACGAGCGTAAATTAATTATTTTATTTAACCGGGTACTGTTACTAGCAGAGCCGTTTAATAAAACATAAACGTAATTGGTCTTTCCTGTTTACTTCATATTCGTGTTCGTGTTTCAATTTATAAGTAGGTGTCTACGCCATAGACTTTAATTATCCGTCCTTAAATTACATGGCATCTCAAGTTCAATTGGCGGGCGTCAAATTTAATATGATTTTGATGTTACATCCTATGTTTGTCTGAAAACGAAATATTTTGAAGAAAGTAAGTTCCACATAGGACTCGAGTCAAGTTTAAAATATCAGTACCCGTCTTATTTTGTATAGTAGGTTTACCAGAAAAATATTTTAACCCAAAGTACAAAAAATGCGCAAGCCGTTTATTAAAAATCTCCCTGAGCTCTTGCATCGATTTTGTCTTTTATTAATTACACCTGGCCGGCAGCGATGGCGGTGGAAGAAGCCTGTTGACTGTTATACACTTCGGTAACTCGATAATTGACCATCAATAACGTGTTAAACTGATTTTTATTTAGAGTGAAATTGTTCGGTTTATTTTTGAAACCCAATAGAATACGCAAAAAGATATAGTGCGTATTTAAAATTAGTTTAAAAACCGCAGATCTCAAAACTATGGAAAAGTAGTGATGAGCGCTCCTAAAACTATTTCGTACCTACTTATATTATTTATTTGAAAACCAATTTAACAGCAACAGCAGCACTGACTTTAATATAATTTGTATTATAACTTTCGTGAGACATACTAAATAAATTATTATGTTTTCGGCTTTCTCACGTAATTATTTGACAAGGCTGCTACTGGTAGGAGCGCGACAGTCGCCGCGTCGCAGGTCGCGATTTATCAACAAAATGCTGCTCATAAATATGAGCCTCTAGCATGGCCTGAAACTGGTCGAGTTTCTCGTCAAATCATTACGTAGTAATTCCACAAAATTTGCTCTGTAGCCAGTTTAAAAGTGTTGTTTTAAGGGAGTAATTAAATTATCTCAAAAAATAGCCTTCGATTAAATTTATATTTGATACCAAGATACCAAAACCTTGTACCTATTTTAGTTTAATTTTAGGAGAACACAGGTAATAAGTCAATTACTGAAAAACGCTTTTGTCCGGAGCGTTGTAAAATTTGATGACGGAACGAGTCGAGATCAGGTTCATGCATTGCAAATCTAAATTGCAGTGGACGGTCGAAGCGGTTGGAGCGCCCTCTCGCGACGTATTTGCTACCAGTCGAGCGGTCACCACTTCTCTTTGTAACACAACATGCACGTAACCTACTGTGTACCAGTATCGTGTAACTCTTTGTAGCGACGCATTGTCGCGAACGAACAACACAAAACGACGGGAAAATTGCACTAACATGCTTGTAATGAGGTACGCAAATATACCATGTTTTTTGTACGTTATTCAATCTGTTGAATACACGTCCAACATGTGTTTTCTTGCGAAATTAAATTTTACAGGTGATATATGTATATTCGTATATCTATTTCATTTTAAGTTTATGTTAATAAGATAGCTGGCGTTTGGCTACGTATGGAGTATAATATCTATAAATAATAGCTGTAAACCAAATTATGTGCCGTGTTAAATGCAATTAATATTGTATTTCAGAACCTCAGTTACTATGCAATCAGATTAGAATAGAATTAGTAGGAACAACCCGAGTAATTTATAAGAACTATGAAAATTGCTTTCATAGCTTATACCTTTTTAAGTAGGTTGAGATTCTGTATAACTTTATAACCAACAATATTTATTTGTCGGTACCAAGAGAATAATCCGATATTTTTCTTTGTGGGAATTCTAAGAAAGATATGAAATACGACGATTATATTTCCACAAACTACCTAAATAATAAGTAAGATATTGTAAACCAAAGTTTGTAGCGCTCGTTCGTAGCGCTCGTAGCACTCGTAGCGGCTGGCGTAGGTTATTGAACCAATTGTCACCATATAACCGCTCTACGAAAATAACAAAGTGATTTCTGAAGTTTGTAGCAAGTGATAATATTATGAAACACACTCGATATCTTTATATCAAATTGTACTAACATTACAACACATTTCATAAATCAAAATGAATTAAAAAAATAATCTAAGCACAACGTAAAAATAGTTTTATGGTTTCATGTTTTTCCATACATATCGACTACTCAAACACTATCAGTCAGTTTCAAAAATTTTATGTAACACACTTAGGTCCTATAATTGGTTCCAAATATGCATGTATTCAACGAATGGGTGGTTATGATAACAATCCACATGAACGAATAACGTATACCGCGAGCTATTCGTATTCAACACCAAAGCAAAACGAACTGAAATACTAAATTAGTAACGTACCACCAATTCATCACCCAGTTTATACGGAATTACATTCCGGTTAGCAAGCAGCATACCAGCATAGTGCATGCAAATGAACTTAACACATCCACAACATTAAACCTGCAGCTATTGGAATTATTTTACTGAATCGAGATATAAAAAAATCATATACTTTCTAATCAAAAATCACTTGGTTAATGTAGGGGAAACGTCTACCTAACATGTTGCTTCGGCATATCTAGACCGCTGCCGTTCCAGATCAGATATGCGCATAGAAGTGCTATTCAAATTTCCATACTTTTAAATTTTGTTGACGAACCGAAAACCTGGGCTTTAAAAGCTAGTGCGTCAATGCTAGAGCAAAGCCCGCATGTGACAGATAAAGTGGAGCAATCTGAAATTACCTTTTTTTTTGCAGAATGCAACCCGGAGATCTGTGTGGAAGAGACGAAGCCTGAAATGCCATCAGCCCCGCTAACCAGTGAGTCCATTGCAAGCTTTTTACAACATACGAAACGAACTCTGTCGTTAGTGCACCTCACACACTTCCAACAAAATCAAACAAAACTTTACTTGAATCGAAACCACTCAACACTCGTTCGAATCGCTCGCCGGATTTAAGAATTCGTTCTTGTTTTCTTGGAGTTCCGTAGTTCCGAGGCAGTTAACTTTACCATCCCACAATATGTATATTAAACTCATAAAATATTAATAACTTTTCAGCAAAACTCAATCGAAAAGTTAAATGTATTTATAGTAATTATAACCGTTTTAAAATTAATTTCGAATATTAATATATATCGATAATTTAATAGACATAAGCTGGTGTGAGATTAACAATGCTTTGTTCCGTATATCATATTTTTTTTGGTTTATGATGACAATTACAATGACTACTACTGATGTCCAAAAAAAATTTACTAAATACTGGATATGGTGAGTCCTATCTATGCCTGACCGCCTTCTACTGCTCTAATTTTTAACACTAAGTAGCGTCTTTAACTTCTCCGTTGTTATAAGTTGTATCTATCCTTGTTTATCTTAACTTAACAGACCTCAAATATGAAAAAAATGTCAATATTTTCACAATCCAATAGTGTACAAATATATCACAGTCGCCTATTGACAAAATAATGCTTCATTTTGGTTGATTGGTCAGTGTGTGAGAAGGCCGTCAGTATTGTGTTCGTCAAATAATAGACAATCATATTGCGTCCTTAATCCACATTACATAGACAATCGCATGAAAGCCCAACGATGAGATAACAGCTTTGTCCAAGGACGTTGAAAAGACGCGGCCGTAATGTCACTTACCAATTATTGAAGCACAAAAATGTCAGTGATCTATTTATGCGTGCGTGTACTTCCAACACCGTACTGTATGAAGTGTAATGACGGGCCAAGTCACGTGACAGGTGTCCTTCGTGTCAATGTGTGTGTATTCTGCGTGTAAGTCTAATTCCTATAGTGCGCTACTTACAGGCGTTGTTCAAAAGATCATTATTTTTTTTTATTTAAACCTTATTTTCTGGCAACTACGGCCCCTAGATATATACGTTACAGACTAACATAAATACTTTAATGTACCATTTTTTCATTATCCTTGGCTTTGTACATAAATCAATTTCTCACATATTAATCGTATATACATACACAAGGACACGTGGATTTCAATTATAAAGCATATTGTTATGCGTTATAACCAAGTCTATGCACCATTAATGACATATAGTTATTAACTACGGATATGGACTAGGAAATTGGCGGGATAGCTATTATCAGCCGATCAAAGGGCTAATAAGTCTTTGATTGAAGACCTATATAGACATAATATAATAATGACCTATGTAGACAAACAGGACTTATGCATATAAGAAAAATCGACTTAGGTACTCTTTGAAGCGGAAACATGTTGTTTGAACCTAAAATTGGATTTTAAAATGTATTATATTCTTATCTTCTCTCTTTCTTGACTTTGCACTTAGTTGGCGACAAATGTGACCGCAGTGCACACCACCACTACATTTCAACTTGTCAACCGTATTTTTAGAGAGATGTGGAGACCTTCTTTAAAATTTTATGTACCGTTAATCTTGATACAACAAAATAAAATCCAGGTCACCAAAATGTAGCTAAAAGATGTAAAGGTGAACTTAACCAATATCTTTTTAAAGGGTAAAATTGTCAAGTTTAAATAAAATATTGTTTTGGGTAAGTATACATATCAGTTAGTCTCAATAATATATGTGATGGTGAGTTAGGTTCCTATATATAGAAGTATATGCTGTTTTGTTTCAAGTAAATTTAATGATGAAAAGGCAACAGATTAAATTTACAATTTGATCACACTTTTACTTAATTCTATAGCGTATTTTTTAATCAATTTTAACAAGAAAAACGTAGATGTATATATACACCTATATAGAGGTAGTTCTGTAACCATTGCTGGTACCTTCATATGAACATAATATAACCTGAACTATCAATAACTTTGTAAATATTCGTTTATACCGAAATTAGGAGAAAACCGTCATTCTATTAAGATTAGATATGCCATTAAGTAGAACATTTTGTCTTTGTAATTGAAGTCTTAAGTGTGATAATGTTGTCATCAATGGCTACTAAAAATGAAGACTAAATTACATTATAGTGGCGTTTACAAACTTAAACATATCGGACAACATCGGATTCAGAACAACTAAATGTTGTAGTATAGAAAACCTTACTTTATTACGACCTTTTGGTCCCACTAAAGCTATAAAATAGCGCTAGCCAGGCGGAAAGGAGAGTGCGGCCGACTGAATATCACGCCAGACAGCTCGTACGTTTTTCGCGACAAACGAGAAAACTGCAGCCTACTGTTTCATCAGAGACGAAAGTTGACTGCGGTATCCGCAACCGACTACAAAAAATCATGGAAATTTAAACCATTCCTCTTATTGCATTCTAAAATTATACTCTCAAAAATTGCAATCTGCACTGAAGAACGTTAAAGATTAAAATAATATTGATATTCACGTCACGACTCATTTTTGGTTTGTCAAATTGCATGTCTGTACCAATCAAAATATTTCCGTTTCCCGAGGCATGCCCTTTGGCTTTACGAAATCTGCATAAATTGTGAGAGTGCACCTGAATAAGCGACAACTTCCACCGCAATATACACTGAGCTTTTGCCTTCCTGAAACGCTCCATCAGTCGATGAATTACAGCATGATTGATTCATTCATGAGTTCATGAACCAAGTACCTATCCCCAGTCGCGACAGGTCAACTGTTTTCTCTGTTGCAATGAAAATTGTTAGTATTCTATACAAAAATACCGTACAAAACTAAAAAACCTATAATATTTTTAATCTGACTTTTATTGCAAAATAACTTTTCTCTATACCAAGACTACCCGAAGCTAGTGCAGAAATTGACAAAATAGTTCGATAGCAATGCAATACCGCAATAACCTTATGATTAAAAATATCTGCTGCAGTCAAGAAATTCCTGATCTGAGAGAAATGACGTTATGGAGAGATAACGAGAGGAAATAAAGAAAATTGTGATGTCCCATATCCAAGCCAGACCTAAGTTTGGTTGGTTGGTTTGTTATTGGAAGCTATATCAACATTCTAAGTCTTGGCATCTAAAATAGATATCACAAATTCGGAAACTTATTTGTTTAACAAACTCATACAGATTTCTATGCTAAATATGAATTGAAACTGTTACAATGACGTGAAATAAATTAAATTTTAATGAACATACAACCTTTTCATGCATTTTATAACGAGCCATTACTGTGTACATTTTATTGTTCTGATGAATAAATATTGTGCGAACAAACGTAGAAAGGCAAACATCGATAATTATTGTTTCTTTTTCATCTGTACTGATTAAACTACGACTTGTATTTACGTAATCATGCAAGGCGAACGTAATGCACAAGAAAACAATAATTAATCTAATACTAACTCAGGGGAAGATTAAAGGTTATCCAATGTATAAGCAGAGATGCAGAACTGTAGACACATAAATTTCATCAGTTGTATCAAAAATACCATTTCCCTATATCCCCCAATACTTACCCCATCCAATAGAGAGCTAACCTGACCATAGAACGGACAGGCGAAGGTACTGAAACCAGTTGCGAATCTTGTTGTTGTCAATAAGATTCGCTTGCTGTTCGCGAGCCGCGTTTTCGAGATCATTCACAAAATATTAAGCCACATTTGATTATAAGTAACGAGCGTATTTAAGCAAATAACATTTTATTTTCTAAATGTCAGGAATCAATACTTAGGTTCACAATTAAAAATGTTAAGCCCATGCCTATCATATTTTTAAGTAGGGACTTAAATAAAGAGGTCACCTACCTACACTGTTTAAACACAATTACAAAAGATAAGGCCACCACATGAAAGGTCAGAGTAATCTCGTTTCACAAAATAATTATCACATTACAAGGACCTTAAGTACCTATGATTATGTGAAAATCCTAAATATTGTCATGTTACTAAACTAAACCCTTTCTTGTGTTGTTTGCTGTCTCCCGGGAACCCTGACCCATTTCCATATCTAATTCGGCCATCCGTGAAATATCAGGACGTGAAATGACTGCCACCAAAGCTATAAGGATAAATTCTTTATAATTTCATTGGCGACGTCACTGATAATTACCAAGCAATCGGTTCTGGAAATTCATTAAAAATCCACAACTCTGGTATCCACAATATTTATGGCAAGTATTTACTATATTAATTTTATACATACACAATATTAAGAAAAAACCAATCTTTATGAGATGGAAAAAACATTTATTAATAACGTTTCCAACCATGAACGACGTTAAACTCTCGGTATCGAATTACGCGAATTTCTTCAACATAATACAATTAAGGACAATTATGTGATCCATTATTGGAATGATGCTTATACCTACGCAAGCTCCGTTTTATCGTACAAAACATTTTATTTTATTACTCTCTTAATAAAATAATTTCACTCAATTGCGATTCGGTAACATTCACATTAAATGGCAAATGTTAAAAAAATATCACTTTTGTTCGCCGAGCCCGGCGGCGGCAAACTGCATTACGGTACGATACATATTGTGTTTACTTATTCAAAACTAGCGTTTCGGCCGCGGTTTCATTCACATAAATTCTTTTCATGACGTTTTAAATTAATTCTGCTGTTGAGGTCGGCGTAAATAAACCCAAAAAAGGTAACAAACATCGAGAAAATGACAGATTTTGTAACTAAATTTTACTACAAATCTGAATACATTACTAGCTGTTCGCCGCGACTTATGGCGAATTTTGGATTTTTTAATTAATCTTCTCCAAGGTTAATTACTAAGCTGTGTAACAAATCTCATCAGAATCAATCTAGATAATATTATAAATTTCTTTACGTCTGTTTGTTTTGTTAGAAATTAATGTGATTTTTTTACTGAATGGAGATAGTAGAAAGGATTGAAAGTAGCATAGGCGACATTTTGTTTATTTCTAACTCACCAATTCCTTAAAACAGGGGCTGAAAGTTTGTATGGAGCATTTTATAATTTTCAGGAAACTTAAAATTAGTATCATATTTGTGACCAGCAAAACATCGGGCACCAAATTTTTTTGTCTTTTGTAAACCCGCCCCGCAATACTTTAAAAGAGCGCGTGTGACACCGTCGGCAGAAGCTAGTCAATGAATAAAATGTATTCAGTTCTTTGAATTTGTATTTTTTCTTTATAATCGCTGATTCTGGTGCAGCTAAATACTATAATTAGTCCTTGAAAACATTTTCCTATTGACAGTCAAAGGCTTAAGCAATATAAGGAGTTTTTGCTAGTGTTTTCCGGTATTGTTCATTCATTTCAGCGATGTTTTAATTTATACAATGTGTTAGGCTTCTGATTTGAGACATTCCGCCCACGTATTGTACGTCAAATTTCATAGTAATGTACCTCTACAGACACCTCTAAACTACCTCAATTGGTTTAATAATTTGGCATAGACAAACACTACCTACACATTACATTCTTTATGGTTCACACAGATCAGTCACTTATGTGGCATTTGATTTTTTTCTATTGTATGGCGAATATTCCATCGGGACCACTCCCGATGGGAAAGACATTTTCATTACTGTAGAAGGAAAACTCGCATGATGCTATCCTTGTCATTTAGAGCGTGACGTCACTGACATGTCATTTGTTTTTCTTTTTTCATTTGTATTGCGATTTATCAGTCTTGGCGAAGATCATGTGACATGGGTCAAAATGCATTGGAATTCTCATTTTTATTACTGTTACTTTCGTGATTTGTTGATGTTTTAATTTTAATGTACTTTTTCATTATTTTCGTTTATGAGAACACTGACATTGTACAAACCGTTAGAACGCGTACGAGAGGAGAGGCAAAAGCGAACTCAAAGAAGCCCATTGGATTTTAATAGAAATGAAATGAGACATCATACTTCGTTTAATCTTTATCTACTATGCGGAGAAGAAACAAAGAAAACTGTTAAATACTATCCGTTAATATAACTTGATATCGGATTAGTCCACTCGCCCGATATTTATCCTAGAATAAAGTCACGTGTCTGGAACCTATTAAAGTATTTCGTGTCAGATAAGAATTTCAGGTCACCTATATCGAGTTTGAAAATAACCTCAACCTTGAAAATCGACGCGATAGAAGACAGCACTATTTCCAATTTGGCCTCCTTTTAATTGGCATTGATAAAAAGATTTCGAATTCTGAATAGCTTTGACTGCATTGAACTCAAAGGGGATACAGATGGGAACAAGTTCAGTCTGTGTAAACTTCATTAATTAAAGGAAATTCTTTTACATTTTTCTAGTAGAGATACCATGGTTATGGACAATTAAGTTTACGCAAAACTTTACAAAGGGTAATCGCATAATTAAAGAAACTAAAATAATAACCGGTCTAATGAACTAGGTTGAGATAATATATTGAGAAATTGGAAAATAATCTCCCGAGAAAAATTTCTTCCTTCGACCCGTTTTAGGGATTAATCTGTCGTTTTTCTGCGTCTTTAAAATATTTTCTGTAACGCATAAAAACCAGAATTTTCACGTAAACATTTTGGCCGATAGAAAATTAAATTCAAAAAGAACCAAGAACTTTAAAAAGCAATTAGTGACTTTTGTTTGCCAATTACGTAATCCCTAGAATTTGCCGTGGAAGTACTTTTTGTAGCAAAGAAAAAGAGATGCTTTATCTTAATTGGAAATAAATCTGTTGCAATTTGAAGGAGCTCTTGCATTCAACCTTACTACAAACGAACTTGCTCTTCTAGAATTGGAAACAATTAAACTATTTAACGATGGTCCTCTCAGCATAGCTCTTGTGCTTTTTTCTATTGTTACGATTGCAGGAAAATCTAGATTTATTTTGTCGCAGGCGAAGATAGCGACACGGCGGATACCGACGGCAGACTATCTTCCGAGTGCTCGCCGTTACCGCAGCGTCGGGGTGGAATATTAAAAGGGGGGAGGCTTTGGAAGTCGTTGGACACAGACAAGGACATAAATGAACAGGTTATTACATTTTATTAAGCGATTAAACTACACAAATGTACAAGTTTATTGGTCTTTGTTCAGTACAGTTAAACGGAAACCAACTCAGTTAAGCGCACTAAATTAATTACTAAACTTCCACTACACTAATTACCTAACTGACTGCATATATGCTTATGAGAACGAAAACTGGAAAGGTGGACAGAATTATATAGTATTTACTAATATGCGCAAATAAATACATAGGTACGATATGGCCAATATTCTTTTCGGTTCTTCCAGTGATATAACTAATGATTTCTAACAACAGAATGATGATCAGCGGTCCACAACCACAGCCAGCGACGAAGACGGTTCCATCACACCACGGTCTGTACGATTTTTAGAAAGACCAAATGATTCAGAGGAGGAGCATCCAAAGAAAGAACCAGAAGCGGTTCACACTCAAACAGAAAATAATGAAACTACAACACAACAAAAGGAATATAACTCCACAAGTGGAAGTCACAGGTATAGGAATATTAAATGTACAAAGAGGTCCGATGTTCGATACGTATTCATTTCATTCAGGTTGACGATATAAGTTAATTGAAAAAGTTATCAGAATTTCTCGCGACATTTGCTCGACAAACAAAAATATTAAAAGTCATTTATACAATTGAACAAATAGCATCGTACCTCTTCCGTCTTCCATGAGTCATTCTTCAGTCATGCTATTCAATTATCACGTCTGAGTATTTTTAATTTCAAATACACATTTTCCTGGTTTAATTCTTATAGTTTAAGCTCGAATTCAATACATTGTAAAACATATAATCGTTGATAACATAAGTTAGATAAGGAAACTAATAAAATATCTGTCTAATTGACAGTAACAGGTCACTGTCACTGTCACTGACAAAAGTTTGTATTTCTATCCGTTTGCTATTTGAAATTTTCTCGACTTTAACAAATAATTATGATTATCTTGTCTTTTCTTGTTTATAGAAACATGAAAAAGTAAGCTGTTGTTTTAGGATTACAGTATTATCTCAATTTTCAAGTGGGGAATTTTATAAAAATCACTTGGGTGATAATTGTTGTGACCTCCAGACTTGACATTTAAAATTAATTATGACAAGTCTCAGCGAGAACGCTACAATTTCAACTTATAATTTTGTAAATATTTTATTAAAGTAGTGAAGTAGTGTTGAACGTTTTATTTGCTCCTAGTTAGTTTTCAAACATCACTCGACTGACACTACGCGGTGGCTGCATCGACACTTTAGACGAGTGACATTATGGCACGTATCAAACTAATGTCGGGCAATAAGTTCAGATATGATCGTGCATCTTGGAAATATTGCAACGTACTTGCTAGTAAAATATTTAAACTTCACTGCTTGTTTTATAGCTCGATATCTACAAAAACAAGTGTAGTCGGTAGGTACATTTGGTGATCATCATAATTAAATAATGAACAGAATAATTGTAACACGAGGAAAATGAGTTTTATTAAAACTACATATTATAACTTACAAGTACCATAAATTTCAGTTCTTTGAAAGGTTAATTCAAACAGTTTTTATTTACGATCAAAGGCTAGAGAAAATGAATAAAGACCACATAATCCGGCGTCATAACTAACACAACGGCGGTAATTTAATTAAATGTATTTATAGGAGAAATTGCATTACTTCTGAGAAATACATATTGGTATTATTGATAGCATAAATGCAACCGCATACCGCAAATATTTCACTTTAGCAAACCAGAGAGCAAATATGTTATCTGAGATCGTATTCACTGTCTTTGCTAAAGAGATAGTGTATGTTAATATTAGCTTTGTATATGTATGTGACAGTTAATTAACCGTTCGCATTGATTGGGAATTTCATATTGGATCAGACAATATAGTGTTAGTTAGTCACTATGTCGTCCCATATTGCCAGCCAATTTAATAACAGTGCAATTGAAACGTAATTATGTACACTATTACGCACATAATAATACGTCATATTTAAAAATACAGTCCCATAACAAATAACATACTTAGGTACTGGCACTTAACTGTTATTTACAACCGTTGCTGTACTTAATATTTTCCACAAATAAAGCCGTAAGCTTGAAAAATTAATAGCAAGTCAGAAAATTGTACGTTTTACTCTCATTGCTTGAATAAATATCAAATTTGTTTTACGCTTTAAAAGGCTTGCCAGACTGCTAACGCAAATTATTAGCTTTGAGTTGCGCCAACAGCAAAGTCATATATTATTACCAGCTTAGTTTTTAAATATTTCAAATCATAAGTTATTTTCTTTAAAATAAATAAGAAACACCTTTTTCTTCGTTTAAACTGGTGGAGGAGAGTATTTTTCATAGGCAGGGTTTACCAGGTTGAGCTCTATTGCTGCATTGTTCTAACACCTACTATTTCCGATAGACTGGAGACGCCACTCATCCTAACGATCAACGCGCCCAAAGCTAATTCGGCGGTTCAGCAGTTGTTCAACAGCGGCAGACCGCCACCGCCCGCCATCGAACCACAGTTAGTCACTTCTGAAACGCTGAGGTATGAACGCTTCATTTACTTTGCTAGTTTTTCAACCCTTTGTTTTTGGACGTTATTTTTATTTCCTTATCTTTTGTTTTGCTGCTGTCGTCGTAGTCTGTTGCTTGTTTTCTTTATCATATTTTATGAACATTATTTCATTATGTTTTATTTTTCTCATTCACCTAGGGCATGGGATGCGGGCGTCAGACCCAAGACTGAGGAGGCAGCGGTACGCCGCGTAGCTGAAAGAAATGCATTACGCTGCTCTTTACTCCGTAGCGAAGCCAGGAAAAAACAACAACCAAAGGTATGTTCAATGTATTACTTTGTAAAGTAAGATGTATCTTATTAGCATTTTTAACTACGATCATAATGAAGCCACCTTCGAAATCAACTTCATCTACAAAACTAATTTGACTAACAAATCTCTTACGTAAACTAGTATAGTTTGCAATGTAGTAGTAAACACAGCAGTTACATAACCCGACATGTTTAACTGTTTACCTTCTGATGTTAAGGAATTGTGCGGTATCTGTGCAGATTAGTTGTTAGTAACTAACTCACAATGCTTTATTTGCTGGGCTACTATTGAACTACATTAGTTTAGCCTCTATCGGCAATTAACAGAAATGATGAGTTTGTAATTCGCACTGATATTTAACTGAAAATTATTCCCGTTCATTTTAGTTTTCAGTGGTTTTACTTTTCAGTGGACTTTGCAATTACGTGGAAATTTGACTTTTTGGAACTAAACGAACAAACATGGAAGTAACATGATAGTAGTAATTGAGTTGCATTCGCAAATATTGCTTCAGTGAAATAAACCTTACAGAGCAGGAATTTAATGTTAAATGTAAATAGATAGGTACCTATTTGGTCCTATAGCTAATATTTCAACGTTAACATGTCTGTATGTTAGTGTCTATTAGCTTTCAATAAAGACACTGGACGGGACTGTATATAAATGAATTGAATATTTGAAGCCCAGTTTTCGTCATTAATTTAAGTCCACGTACAGTCATTAGCCTATACTGCCAGTGCAAATAATACGTGCATGGATTTTATATGGAACTATACGATGTTTGTGGGCTCTTGTATATTTATTAAATTCCAGCGTAGTCCTTAAACTAAACGAACCATAGTTATATTTTAGTCATTGAATTGCTATTTAATTTAAACTAGATAGCTGGGGTCAGTCCATAAATTGGCGAATATTCAGATAGTTCAGGAGTTCGGGCGGCAGTTTGTCCGTCATTCATTACGAAGGCAAGTTTGAGTACCGAACCCGACCTAGTTGTAAAAAGGAGACTTCTTCACAAAGTAGGAAAAAGGTCATAAATCATTTTATTTTTCTGGAACGTGATTGCGTCGGAATCTAAATAGAACGTCTTAGAACTCAGTGATTGTAAAGATATCGTTATCCAGCCACAATAGTCATATCTATAAAACAACAACATATTACAAAAAAAAATTAAATTATTTTTTAAGTCTTTTCTATATTTAGGTACCAAAACAGCTTAAATTTTCCTCTTTATTGATCTCTAACCATCTAAAATGTAGATAGACTGCATATTAAATAAGATATTCAAATTCATAATTACCTAAGTAGCCAATTGATTGGTTTTAGTTAGGTAGATATAAATATATAAAACCGCATGGGATCCAAACTTGATCTCATTTTCTTGGTTGGGTGAGCAAGAGGTTCCCAACGTCTTAATTATCAAGTTAGCTGGTAAGGTCAAGAAGCAAATCAAACTTATGAAATTTAATGTTTAAGGTTAATATAAAGGTAGTGAAGTATATTATATATCTACCTAAATAGAATATATTATACATAGATATAGCCACATAATATGGTTTTCCATAAAGTCCATACCAAAGACCAACTCACAAATTTTTGCCACGTAAAATAGCGGTTCCAGGTAATTTCAACCATTGATAATGCAGTTACAGTATAAGGTCCACAATGGGCAACCTAACATTCGACAACATATTGTTGCGTTTGGTACACTCACTGTGTCTAGGGATCGAGCCGCACAATTAAATTTGTTTTAGGACCCTTTTTTGGGATAAAAAGTACTCAGGGTGATGCCCAAGATATTAAAGTTTCATCAAGTTTCATCGTAATCGGATTGGTAGTTATTGCTTGATGGAGGAACTTCTCCCGTTTTCCCAACATTTCTATTCACTGCTCTGCTCGTATTGAATGTAGCGTGATGAAAAGTTCCACCAGCTCAGGAGTATGAAGGATATTTGTACAAAGTTTCGTTAATATTTGTCGAGTAGTTCTTGTTTCTGTATAACGGTTAAACAGACAGATATAAATTTTACTGATTTTATTTTTGGTATCAATATCAATCCTTAATCACCCCCTGATAGCTATTTTGGAAATATATTTCATATGAAATTGTACCCCTATAAACGTCTGTCGTATGAGCTACCTTTAGGTTACAAGTAAATTGGACAGCCCGTATGAACAATTGAGCTATCGACAACGCAGCTAACGATGTTCGATCCAACTCTTAGTCGAGCAAAATACAATATGCAAATACTCAGTATAATCAGAATCTGGAATTTTACCGAAACTTTTATAATAAAATGGCCTCATGGTCAGCGATGTTTCTACAAATTCTGTTTTTTCCGTGACGTACCACTAAAGTTGCAGTAATGGTAGTTATAAGTAGTATGTACGAACAGACAGAAGCTATATTCATCGCCTTAGTGTAAAATAGAACGCGATTTAATTATGAAATTGGTTTTACATGAAATAAACCTTTTGCTTGACTTCTTAACAACCTACTTCACTTTAACTCTGATGATGATGATTTGACCAATTCCAATTGAACTAAGTATGTAAATAATAGAATACCTATTACTGATAAACTATGGTTCATGTTTATGTAGTAATTATTCCAGGAAAAAAACGTCAAATTAAAGTAGCTATAGTAAAGTATAATAAAAGTACAGAGTACAATAAAAGTTATAATATATTATTCCTTTCTAACAATTTCTATATTATACAAAATGGCAAAAAGTTATGGCGGTCGGTGTCACGGTGTACGGTCCCCATCTGTTCGTAATTACAGGATCGTCGTTAAGGAAAGTGGGGAACTTTCCTTACTAATTAAAGTATAATTTATGGATCGATATCAATACTTAAAATACAAATTAATATTTATTTATTTGCACACATATAAGTTACATTGCATGCAGACATGGAAGCAAGCAGGGTTCACATAAACGCAAACGGGGCAACCGTGGACCCAAAACTAGACACAGCCTGTCTTGGTGGCCCAATATTAAAAGTTTAGGTAGTTCTCGCATCATGACTATGACACAATGCAACTATGCAACAGTTTAAGTACCTAATAGTAAAAAGAACAAATAAATACAAATTAAAAAAATCAGATATATGCAGATAACATACTAAAGTACTATGTTAACATGATATAAATATACTGTGTGAAGCGATACATTTTACATAGTCTGCTTCTTGGCCGACTAGATATTTCTACTGATAAATAAGTTAGGTAACACGATTATAGAGAAGTATTTAGTTACTAGGTTTATGATACAATTTTATGAAAATTTCACCTACTTGTTATAATAGGCTAGATAAACACAGGTTGGCATAAAATCTAGGTACAACTCGTGCTCTCCAAGACACAGGAACGACGTGTTAAGATTTCTGGACATCACTCTGACTTACTTACGTCTTATATCGTCACAGAAAATCAAAAAACTCACTTTACGATCGGCAAATACATACATTTACAACCCTACTTGACAATCAAAGTATTTACTCAAAGCTATAATTTGGGGGAAAAGGTATTGTTACGCAGTCATATACGTACCTAATGCCTCCCAAACTCATTCTGTGATTCGTCACCACGGCGCTATAAAGTACCTGACCTGACCTGGTTCCATTTTGAGAGCTTTTACATTCGCTTTGACTTTTACACAACCTTCATATTAATACGCCTCCTAATTACAGGGAAAAGTGCGAGACATTTTCTAAATAGGCCGACGATAGTTGCCTGCTTACTCTTGCTTAACCTGATTCTAACTATTATTTTAGTTCTATCAATTAACCTCGTAACAATTTTACGAAATTACTACTTCAATCGGATTATGTTGTTGATTATGCCGTCAATATATATGTACTTTTAACCGTGGCTTTACCCGCGTATTCCTGTTTTATTCGTTGGGAACATTTAATCGGGATAAAAGTATTCTATCACCTAAGTCAGCCCGTACCCTGCCTATATACCAAATTTCATCAAAATCCGTTCAGTAGTTTCAGCGTAATTGACAGAAAAATATCCAAACATCGAAAAAAGAAAATGTCACATTTATAATATTAATGTGATATGTAGTATTTGAGCAATTCGATTAAAAAGTAATTTTACGCTATAACAAACAATCATTGTAATATTTCTCAGTAGTATAATAACTTTAACAAGGCACCAGTTTTTGAGATACAGACAAAGGGCTCAGGGCCTTTAGCCAAACGCCATTTTAGCGCTTGTCTACAGAGAAAGTAGAAATCAAAATGTATGGGGATGACAATGACAAGTGTCAAAATTTACGTCAATTCCATATTATTTGGTTTTCTATTCTACATGTAGACAAGCGCTAAATGGCATTTGGCTACAGCTGCAGAGAAGAACGCTGTCTAGAATATTGATAAACGAAACTAAATAATGCTGAAATAGTCAAACGTCACTCAATCTTAATTCGCGCTTAAGTGTAGTTCTGTCTCTACAAAGTCTTTGTAAAATAACAAAGATGAATGTGAAATGATAATTTGTTAAATGGCACGACATTTAAGTATAATTTAAAATTGAGTAACGTCGGGCGTATGACGTCTGTATCTAAATTACTATGTCAGCTCCTGTACCGAAATAAAATTATGATCTCTGGAGGTGCAATAACTATTTCATAGTACGAAAGCAGTGTTTAATGATAGAAACCGCTAATAGTTTTATTATTTCAGTTCTGCGTATATTTTCAAATTACAGTCGTAGGACTGTACTATAGTAAAATATGTGGATTGAGTTAATAAACAACATAACATCACGCCTTTTTATCCCCGAAGGGGTAAGCAGAGGTGCACATTTCGGTACTTACTGCCACTCTACAATGTAACACCCGCTTTTCACTATTTATAAGTCCCATGTAATAGGGGTGAGCTTATATTGCCATATACCGGGCACATTTCCAGACTCCGAGCTACTACTGAGATTTTTATAAACCCAACTGAAGAAAGACCTCTTCTTACTCTGAGGTGTAAGCATCTGCATTAATCCCCGGGCCTGCTCAAGTAAATTGGCGACTTCGAACTTTTAACTAGAAATTACCAGATTTCCTTACGATGTTTTCCTTCACCGACTTTAACTATACTAGGCACCAACATTTAGTATCTATTTAAAGTTTTTATCTCGTTTGCGTGTCCTAACCTAACGATATTCGTATATCGTTAGGTCGAAATTCGAACCTACTTGAATAGGAGTTTTTAAAGTGTACTTTAGTTCGTTCGAGGAATTTTATTGGTACGAATACGAGTTGTTTGAAGTGTTTGAAAATAAAGCGCACATTCGAATCTATTACGCCATAAAGCACCAGTTAAACGGATAAGTAAATATAATAAACATTTTGGTACCAACAACTCCTTATTTCCTTGATTAATTCTTTATTTCATGTTCTAAATCTCGAAAATTCTTATTGAAGATATAATAAAAATTAAAATCCAAGGCGTTCGAATTCCCTAAAGCATACGCTTTATATAAAATGTGCTACCATAAAGTAAATACAACAGATAACTATTTACTCGTGGCTAGTCTACTAGACCTCATGATACCCAAATTACACAGCTAACTAATGCGGGAACTATAACACTAATTAGCCATTAGACATACCAATGTATGTCAGTAATAGAATGGAAATCGCCATAGTTATGGAAATGTAGGTATACCTATAAACCTCGGAAGTCGTAACACCTAAACAGTCAATCGATTGAGACTAATTAATATCTGTCAATTTATCTTAACACATGAATACGTCATTCATTCCCTAGCTCTTAATGGAAAGACGTGGTATTGGTAATATGCATCAGTGTTAAAATAAACAGCACCTGTATTCATCATTAATCATTCCCGTGGTTATCCAAAATCTCTGCATTAATCTCAGTTAGTCCGTAAAAGTATAAGATCGTGAAAGTATAACAAAAAACGCGCAGTAGCACTCTCTGGTAAACTTGCACTGTCCAAACTGCGATCTCCGAGCCACTTCCATGTCAAAAGTGGAGACGACAGCAATCCCTCTTGTATGTAGACAAGACTCGCCATCGTCACTAGTCTGGCCGTGGACTGTCAGCCTTGACTAAGTACCGTTTTTCATAACAAGAAATGGTATATTCGTATCAATATCGTAAAAAAATATCAGCTACAACACATCAACAAAAAAGCTTTTGAAATACCATTAATGTAATAAATCATAAGTTTGTACATACTATTAATATTTCAGCTAATGTAATTGGATAAGTCATCGACATTCTAATATTACCCTGAGTATATGATTGAACTCAGTCAATGACATTTTATTCTTACAACTTATCGGATTAGGGTCGTCTCCATTTATATACGATATTCTCTATCCATTGCGTAACAATCTCGTAGTCGACTAAAGCGAAGAGCAAACTATATTACTTTATTATTTTAAGAAGCATTCAGTGGCCTGCAATATTGTAGTTCCTATTCCTGTAGCGATACTATGCAATAATATTCACACAATACTTTACAAAGAATGGTAAAATTTAATATTAAAATACCAGTCTCAAGAATAAAATGGGAGGGATTAAAAACGGTGAACATTCCTTAACGGACGCCATTCTAAGGAACCTGCACCTTGCCTTTCCAGCACAGGATAGTTGGATATCATCTATATTTTGCGTGTTATGGTTTTCATAAGTAAACGTATCTGTTTCCCAAATTACTAAGAAATGTACTCGATTTTGTACAATTCTTTCTCTTTGCTTTGTATTGTGTATAGATTATTTGATTCGTTAGAAGGAATCCTGGTAATATGCCCTTTAATTATTGTCACATTTATTTCAAGAAAATTGTTTTCATCTGCCAATCCAACAGTTTAGTACTTGGATAAGAATAATCAAATCTATCTAAGTAGGTAACGTTTTATGTAAATAGTTTGAATTTATCTAGAAAATTATATATTGTGTCATACCTGCTTTTATGAACCTCTTGTCTAATGCAGAAGTAAATTAAGTATGCGTCAGCGTAACTGAGTTTTGCCGGAGATTTAAAAGCCTTTAACCTAATTTTGTCGCATACATATTTTTCTGTAAACGAAACGCAATGTTGGAAACTACTAAACTGGCAGTATAGTTCAGGCTGGCATTGTATAGGTTTCCGGGAAGAGACAATAACATACGACAATTCTTAGGATACATTTAACTACTACTACTACTACTACTAACAGCATCACATAAAAATGTTAACCATTGGTGTAAAATATAACTTAAGAGGAAACTTAAAAGTAAGTTAAGAAAACTACAAATAGCTTTGCGTAGTGGATTTTATATGATTAGTTAAAACCTTATGCAACCTTACTTTACATTACTTACACAAATGAATAATTTTATTCTTGGAAATAGCTGCACTACAACTCTTGCCGTACACAGTTTTCACAGAATCTATGAGCGGATGCTAAATTTGACCAAACCTACCGTTTGATAGTTAGATACAGAACGTAAAATTCAAACAAAAACATGGATTCATCGTTTGTTAATTGACTTGTAGCTATCGTTAATTTAGTTCATTTCCTTCGGTTTTCCGAAGCATCCAGAATCAATTGAACGTTAAAATAATTGTGGATTGAATTCACTTCTGATGAATTTTATCTTTAAAATTTTAATTGAGTGTAAATCAGACACATTATTGCAATACATTTTAACGAACACGCTCTGTGGTTTATTCAATTAAGTGTTTATTTATGTCTGTATGTGTCTATTAAGTAAAATAAACTTTCAAATTATAAGCACTATTTTTGTTAATACTTTTTAAAATTATAAGTATTCGTATTATTTTATTTCAAAAAATAAAACTGGGTAAATAATGAGAGTTACAGCTCTACTTTTTTTTACTCGTATAAATAAAACTGACTGAAAAAGTAACAAGCAATATTGCTTTTATTCACGTCGATGCATTATTTCTACGTTCATGTCAGTTGTATAGCAACGTGACAGCTTTATCCACTTTTATTAAATATTTTGCATTGTCTCTCCAACTATAAACACCGTACATAAGACTTATCAACTGCCTGTCAGCCACGTTTACAGGATAGATAAAGTTTTTAAATATGTTATCTTGAGTTAAAGAATACAATTGAGATGTAACACTATGAATACAATATAGTATGAAGGCCTATTAGAAACATTTATTGTACATATTTTCTAGTTCATTCTCTGGTTCAGAATTATAGCTATTCTTTTAGCATTCAAATCACTTGAAGCAAATTCCCAACTAAGAATCGTCGTTGGCAATTCATACAACGTGAGACGGGAAACTTCTATTGTTACTATTGTCTTGCAGCCGATGAAACAATTTGCTCAGTATTGTCGACTAACAATACGTCCTCCTTCCAGCAGGAAACGACGTCTCTCGCCGAGCGCATTCGTTTACTGACTTGTGATGTCGAAGATGAGCCGGAGGAGCAAAGAGCATCGCCAGCCGGAGCCAATGTCGACAAGATGTCAAGCAGCAGCGACAAATCGAGCGACAAGTCCTACAATAGTATTGACAAAAACAGTGAGAAAGCTTTCGGCAGCGCATCGTCGAGCTCGTCGTCATCGACAATATCAGTGCCCCTGCCCACACGTCAGCTTCCCCCCGACTTGGGTGACGTACATCAGGAGCCACAAAAGGTAAGGTTCTTTGTGAAAATGACAAACACCGTGGGTGTATGAGATTTTCTCCACTTAATCAAACTGTCTTATGTCGTCGTATAACAAATTGTTCTTGTTTTCTTACGACGGTTAAGTATGTGAATAATTAACGCGACCAGAGGGGTTGGAAATGTGTCAAAGGCTTTGTAATTTGATGCTGGGAAGCAGCGCGTTTTAATTTAGGGCTTGTGATGAAACTAGCATACCTAGGTATTTTGTACCGAACTTTTATCTCATGCTGTAGAACACGTTTTAACATTGCTGCAAATTCTAATTATACGTTTAGGTTATAAGCAATTGGAGATTATTGTGTAATTACTTACTGGACAATTCTGGACAATCTTTTTATTTTAATTATTACGTTCAAATAGTTAGAACCCTTTACATTGCGTAAACACCTACTTATTTATATAATTGAATGCCCTAGGTGTCTATAAGTCGTAAATGTTATCTGTGGAATATGTCCCACTTGTATCCGATTGTTTTCACCGCTAAAGGGTATTTTGTATATGTTTTTCCTTTTGTGATTGGACTTGTAGTTTTCTAATAAAATAAAAGTAATGGTTTCAAGAAAACTTATGGTCGTTCACATAACAAAAGCGTGTGTGAAATTGAGAAAGTACAATGTAAGTTTTTCAACGGGTGGAGTTCAACTATAACTTATAGTTCAACTATAACTATAGTCTAACTAAACACGACTAAAAGAACTAGAGGAGAACTATTGAACTCAACTTTTACTTGTAATACACCTTGTTTTGGTAAATTATTACCTACGCGAAAACTATCAGAAGGAACGTGAATTTGCAACATGGAACAATTTAAAAATGTACATAAATGAGCGTACTTGTTTTTCTACGTCGGGTTATATTGCTAGCACACAACACAATGAGAAGTACACCGTTTTCTTCGAGTGCTAGTGTAACATTACTTCATTTACTATATTTCTATTTACAAAAATGCATATTCCCACAGCCAAAGTCAGAACCGAGGCGACAGTTCCTATCTACACTGGCTCCGTTGACCGCCTGCGTGGGGAGTGCAGCTCATCACGAGGGCTTCTACTACGTACCTCCTGGAGATCGTACATCGGCATCATCAGCCACTAACCTAGACTTACAGGAGCATACAGACGCTCCAGCACCGGACGTAGTTGCAGGAACTCCTGGTAAGCGAGCAGGCCTGTCAGCCGATCAACACCAATTTTGTCAAACACCATACAATAATGTGTAGTAACTATTAAGTAATCTGTGATAATGTGTTAAGTATTTTCTACTAAACACTAAACTGTCGTAACTATTTTAATATTTAGTCAGCCATCTGTTATGTTGCTGCAACTATGTATATTAAATAGTCAGTATGTATAGGTACACACATTAATTATTATATGTATTTTGTTCGTATTAAGAGCTCTACAACTTAATACTTATTCTTTAAACAACGATGTTTATAGAATACAAATTCACGTAGATACTCTTGCACTAGTTACACTTCTATCACTACCTAGTTTTTACTTAATAGGTTACGTGAACAATAACTTAAAATAATACTTCCCCGATCACTTCACCAACAAAAACTATCCCGTAACTTGCTCTTAAGTGATGGACCATTCATCCAATACAAAGTAAAACAGTGACGGGCCGAAAAGTGAAATGTGTGCATCAATTTGTTATTCATGTCGTTGTCTGCACTGTTCTAGTACTTGTGAACAAGGATACACGAACTTTGCCCGCACGGCCAACAACTTTACACAGTTATTCAAACTATTTGCGTTCAGTGCGGGTCACATTCAGTTATGACATTTAACCAATTATTACACTTAACAGCATACTAATTGATGTAAAATGGTAAAACATATCAATAAGATGATTTATTACCCAGATTAACACCTAAAGACAAATTGTATGTATATCAGGAGCTGGTGAAGGCGATGACGGTCTGGCTGCTTTCGCTAGAGCTACTGCTCCAAGGACTGAAAGACTGAGGCAGCGATATGGTCAGGAGTCACAACCCGTCAGCAGCGACGATGAACATGACGACTACGGTATAAATGAGCAAAGAAAACGTCATTCATAAATAACCCAATTTATTATTCATATCGCCAAATAAATGTAAATTTAAAATATAAAAGTTACAAAGCTCCGCGGCGCACCACCTGGAACAACTCCTAGCTTACCAACCCTAAGCCGAGATTAGAGTAAAATTCTCGGAATATCCTAGAACACGTTAAGTCGACTGTATTTTCTATCTTTTTAACTTCATTCGGGGGAATGCGTCGCTCGATTGCACTGCACATTACAGTTCACTGATATTTTATTGTTAGGGGAACTTGAAATGTTTTCCTTTGTAGAAATGGTAAACAGAAAATGCATTTTTCATTGCAGAGACGCCCAATGTCTTCTAGGTCCTTTTTACTATCCCTGTGTATGGAATTTTCGTGGTTTATTTTTTTTTGCATATGAAAATTTAATATTTTAGGTTTCCATCGTCGACCTGCGGTTCGCGGTATTGCTATAAAGCAGCAGCTTGGCGCATCCGACGATATATTGCAACAAATGCAAAACGAACTGCAGCCATCTCCAGGCACGACACCGCAACAATTGCCGCCTTCCCATGCATGCCAACGCACAAACTCCAACTATTCTTGGCCTTACTATTCTGAAGCCAATCTTAATTCACGGCCGCAAAGCAGAACTAGTGCAAATTCGAACTGGTGAGAAATCTACTACTTAATTATTAAGTGCATTGTATTTGTTGTCCTTTATTTACGATTCCAATTTATAAATACTTCTCCCGTTACAAGTTTTAGGAAATCGAACGAACTTTGGAAAAGTCATCCCACGGCATGGTCTATGAATCTCGGATTCAATTTGGGCACGGGGCAATTTTCTTCTTTCTTTCTTTATAAGGTTCAATTAAATTCAATTTATTTGCATCAGGTCCAAATCGTCCGACTATATGCCTTCGCGACCATGCCAGAGTACTCCCGTGCCTCAGCAACATTCGGACGCTTGCTACGCCCACGCACAGAACATGGCGTCCTATGCACATTATCAGCAACAGCGGCAGCAGCAAGAGAGCATGTATCGCAATTGTTCTCTCTACGCCAATATCGGGTAAGACTGACTATTGAATACATTATAAAAGTTTTAACTAAGTGAACATTTATTTAAAGCATATTTACTAAACACTTGTTAGTAGCTGCAAGTAGGAAGAAATGGCTTCAAGCCGCCGTATTATAATAACATTAATAATTTATTGAATGATTTAAAAAACCTACTTGCGACGCACTCTATGCTAATATGTTTATGTGGCAGATGCCATATAGAATACATTTCATTTCTATTTTTTTTTTAATAATCCCCTGCGAACCTGCTGTTGACGGGAGTTCCACCCCTCGTACGCCTTTCAAAGATCTGGCACCTTGGGATTCCTTGAAATAAAAATGAACAAACTTTCTAATTGGAATGGCACTGACCTCTTCCAGGTGTTCGGACAGCAGCCAGGAGCTATACAGCTCCCAAACGAGCTCGGAGCAGACATCTCCGGTGCGCGCTGTGCCTCGATGCCGCCGTCCGGAGTCTCCACCACCGATCCGGAGCCACCATCAACTGCTTTACCTGCCATACAGTTCCCACTATCATTACCAACACCATGCAGACTACGGTCAGCAACAATGGCAGCAGGCTAACGACTGTGAGTTATACGGAAAATGTCAAACGTGTTATACGTGTATCGGTTAGATACTTGGTTTACTGACAATATGTTTTGTGTACAGACAACCGCATGCACTCGTACTACCAGCAGCAAGCCCGCAGTGGTGCGAGCACGCCGCAACCGGCCGCGGCTCAGCCACAGCGAGCACACTACACACATGCGCTGCAATTACAGGTATTTTTTTATTTCTATGTATACTTCCTTCCCGAATTTAAACCCGACCTCAAACAAATCACCAAACTGCGACTTTCTAAAATATTTAGCAATCGGTTCTTATTACATCATGTATTTTATTTATCTAAATACCAATGAAAAGTATCAACTAATATTCTGCTTACTCGCGACTATTTAATGCAACTGCTATAATGTCGACTAATAAAAAAATTCTAGCAATTTGTGTTCTGTACCAAGCGCGACTATAATAAGCAGCATTTTACTCATTTGTCATCAAATTCTTTTTTAACTTGTTGAATTGCCATTTTTTTTATTGTCCACGTAAAGAACGCAAACACTTCAAACTTTTGGCAACATGATAAAACAAAAGTAAAGTTACTAATCCATGGAAAATTGAAAACTATACCTACATTGGAAGCGGATTACGTGCACGATACGAAGTGAAGTTTGGCTTTACACGGATAAAGTTGTGGGCAACAGTTAGCCATGAAAGCTGCATCTGAGCTCAGGCACCGTGATTAAGTGATTATCTCATAAAACACCACTGCGAATTCATTTGAAAGCTGTACCTTCGCTAGCCGAACTTTAATTACCTAATGTGATGGAAGGAGAGGGATTCACTCTTCAAGTTTATTTAGTAGGTGTGAAAGGGTAAACTACCTAGTGTCTTTGCTTTCTATTGAAAACTGTAAACCAAGAATACCTCTAGCACCTAAAAAGTAAACTTCAGTTTAGCTGTTCCTTGGCTCAAAGTTTAAACGAGTTTCTCTTGAACCATACAAAATAGGTGCTTCAAATCTTTAGTGAGATTTGAATGTGAATTCTGACTAGTTATTCGGTATTGCTTTGCCGTGGATGTTTTGGAAACTTTTGTGCGAATGCTAATTAATTTGTTTAATTGTCATAAAATAGATAAGTAGAAAAGCGCAGTTACGAGTTAAAGTGTTAGTAGTTTATTCAGGAATTGAGTTTTTTAGGCCTGATATATAATATTTTGCGAATTGTTTATATAACCTATGAAACACTGAAGTTACGAAGTTTAATTGAAATGAGCTAGAATTTACAAATCTATACAATAATTGTTTACAGACGCTCTGTCCTGCACCCGCGCGATACAGGCCTGTGCCAGCCCCTCAACCTGGAGGCGGAAAGCAAATGATTTGCTACTCTGAGAAAGTGAGTATCAAGCTTTGATATAATACTTGTTACCTACTAACAAAGTCTGCCTAATAATAACAATTGTGTACGAAAATGAGTATTAATACCTCTAGTCAAAGCTATGTATGTACAATTACATGAGTCGCTTTTATCTATATTAATTAAGACGCTTTGCACCTATCCCCAGGTGGCGGCTCCGATGTATCAACCGGCACCAGGGTCCCCATCTAGGGCTGCCAGGGGGGCTCCAGAGGGCGCGCCCTCTGGAGTATCGGCACAGCAAGCCACGTCACCCATGGCACCTCCCCCTAACCCCGTCTACTATGCCATGAATGTCTGACGGGGGGACTAGGTAAATATTCTACTGAAATATACGTTATCCCTTTATCTCCATCCATTATTAATAGAAACCAAATACAAAATATGATTGCTAGCCTATTAAATTCTATATTGCCTTCCTTCTGATCGACTACTCTGCATCCCAGATCCGTCTCATTTATGTATGTACTATTCCTCAATTTCAGGTGAGAATCGTGGTGGGCCCCACAGGAGAGGTCCGTGTCAGTATTCAGCCACCAGTGAACACAGTCATTCCCACAAAGAAAAAATAAAAGTTGTTGTCGATCCCTGCACAAACAGGAGTTTAAAAAAATGTTTACCCTAAATGGTAACTGTCGCGTTAACAGTTATATAATTGTATGTCGATGTATATAAAGTAATTTGTCCATGTTATTATAATTCTTGAGTATCAGAAATGTTTTAGGTGAGAATAATCATAAGATTCATAAGTAGTTCTGTGAATATAAACCTTTTTTGGGACCGATACAACAAAATCACCACGTCTTCGTTGTATAATTATTAATGTAAATAATAATAGTTATATGTGTGTATCTAATCAAGTTTGTGCGTGTTCAGATAAGCAATAATTTACGCAACTCTTCACAAATCTCATTTTCTGATTTTTATTCTTGTTCTCCTTCAACCAAAATTAATTACCAAAGATTTATTGTGTTACTCTATACCAAATTATAATTATATACCAAAGAGTAAAAATATTTTATTTTTAAGTTTTTATGGTAATACTACATTATTATTAATAGAATAGAATGATTGATAAATAATTGCTTTTCTTGTCGTGATATTTGTAAAACCCATAGAAATCAGTTTTAGAGTTCCAAGGTGCTGGGACTTTATACACTCTAAATGTTTGCTTCTCAAAATATAATTGTCATAAAATAAAGTACCTATAATATTCCTTAAATAAAATAATAAATATCGTCTGATGTGTTAGTTTATATCTAAGTATGGAGATTTGTGTAAAACTAATGTTGGATTTTGGGTTGCTAGAAACATAACTATGACGAAGATTTACATCTCGATAAGGAAAGTGTTCTGAAAAATGAATTGACACGGCCTAGATTAGAAGGTAATGTGATTTATATTTAAATAATTATATTTCATGACTTAAATGAACTTTGAATGCCGGAGAAGTAAACCTAGTTATATGAAATATTCCAAAATTTCTGTACATGAGTAAATAAAAGGATACTAAACAATTTTTCAACACTGTCAATAGATTTTTAAAGTGTAATATTGTCCTACAGTAATGCGAACCAATTTTACCGCATTTATAATGTGAATATATAAATTTAATATTTAAAAAATAGATCTCATTGTTGATGTTGTTCGTGAAATGGCCTTATTGGGGCCTACCAGTTAAGTATATATGTAATTAGGTAGGTAAGTATTTGCGCTGCGTTTGCAACCCGTTCATTGGCCATTGTTCGTGAAGTAATGAAGTAATGAAACCTTCATTGCTGCATGTTTAATTAATTAATAATATCTCATAAGTCAATGAACGGGTTGTTGCACACGACACTAATTTCTCTAAGTTTGGCTAATTAATGGACCATTTGTTACACGCAAATATCCAGACTAGTGCCAAAATAAGTATTAGCGACGTAGTGTTCGAAACAAGAACTATGTTATATGTAAATACCTACGAGATTAGGTTTACGGATTCCTATTGCCGGCCTATAATTCAATTAAGTTAATTTAGGTTACTCATGTTTGTTTATAAAGTCTGTGAATGGTGTAAACCAAGCTACAAACAGTAGAACTTGTAAATTACTCAAAATAAAAAGTATTTCTCGGCTGACTGGACAAAGTGAGGGACACCTCGATTTTCATTAAGATATAATTATCGAGTATTATAAAATTACTTATTATTTAGTATATTTTAAGACAATAACTTTTATGTTTACTACCATAAGATCGCTTTCGCTGATATTACCAATATGTTATTAAAGCAGTAGATCTTGTTTTATAATAATAAGATTGGCTTTCATGTGTTTATTGTGTAAATTATTAGATGTAACTTCAGCTTACTGATTAGGAGCGTCTAGAGAAGGCAATCTGTTAACAACCACCATAGAACAAATTAAACGAAGTTGCACAACTACTAGACCAAAAAGGGAGACCAAAATTGAACCTCATTCCTTTGAAAATAGGTAGAAAACTATTTTTGAGACATCGACACTGGTATCATGCTAATTAACTAACTTACCAATTTAGTGTCATCTCTATAAGTATAGAGATAATGATATAATAAGAACAACATAATTACACATTACACATGAATATTGGGCATTTAAAACTCAACTATAAACGAAATGGGTCACTGTTATGATACATTAATTTAATATCTCGTACCTAATGCTGAGATACCAATCCTTCACAACGTGATTTCGTCATGTTTACACAGAAAGAACCTCAGTTATTATAATTAATTACAAATAATGCCACCAGTGACAGTAGGTACCTACTGTAGGTCCAAACAAATGTGACTTGCTAAAGGCAAAAACGAACTCAAATAGTTGCATATTAGAAAATTAGGCAACCACTGAAGCTACATAACAAACCCAAGAAATCCTATTAAAAGAATTTCATTAAATATTCAGGACAAAGATCCTTGTAAAAAGTATTAGGATAAAAAATGTGTTATTATTGTAGCGAAAGTTGTTACCGGAGAGTAAGAGTAACATATTTTGTAAATTGATGCGATGTAAATAATTAAAAATAAATTAATGTGAAGCCAAATCTGTAGTGTAGAAAGAAAATATTTCAATTCAATTTGACATAAGTAATACCTATTTTGTAAAAAGGTTGTTACATCATTAGTGAACTTTCTCATGTCTATCATTATTGTTAATCCTAAATGTGTTACTTCATTTCACAATTGTAGAAAAAAAACTGTCCCGTGTAGACTCAGAATTTTAATATTACTTACTAAACTTGGTAGATACTATAGTGTCCATAAAATTACACTTAAACATCACAATGTTTTAGTAAACAAATGCTTGAGTTGAGGTTTCACATTATATAATTATTTATTTAAGTATAAGTAAAAAATCTATTCAAAAGAACTCATTAATCAATGTTTTCGGTCTTGTGATATTGTTGTTTTGCTGCTTAGCAGTTCATTTAGAATTTTTTATATGATTTTAAGAAGAAAATCACGTATTACATATTGTAGATATTAATCTGCCTATATATTAAGTTGTGTTTAATTAATTGTTATTTGGGATCATGTTACGATGAAAAAGTATTATGAATTTATGATGTTCGCTAAGCTAGTCAAACATATGACCAACTACTATTATATCATAATTGAATGTAATTTATCCCTTAACCGAATGGCAGTAGCGTGATATTGAAAATGTGTAGATGTTAATTGTGATTTTCAATTTATGTATTACCTGCTATCGGTTATGACCCGTCAATGGTAATCAACCACTATAGACTAATCATTTATACAGCTGCAACCCAAGAAGCATCACAAGTCCATTGCAAAATGTGTAGGAAACGCGCCATTGTTTCCAGAATTGTCACATGTAAATATTAAACAATGTTTTTTAATAATTATAATTCTGAATGTTCATGGCATTTGATACACCAAATTGGATCATTCAACTTTTGTTTTTATAAAATCTTACAACATATTGAATATATGACCATTTCAATGACCCTATAACAGGGAAGAGTATTAAGGCTATAACAGTTTCCTTTTATTAGTAAATAGACAGTAAATTTCTATTTCATTCACGTTCGTACATGAATCTCATATTTAGTAGTGAAATTAAATAAAATAAGAACAAAAGGGATGTTGTGAGTAGCATTACATAGAAATTTAAGCAGTTTATTTTCTCAGACTTGTAAGTATTAACACAAAATTTTGATATACAACATAGTAACGTACATATTTGGAATGATGAGTGATTCATACAAATAAAGAGCTCTAATGGTGTTAAATGTTACTGCGATTGAGATAGTAAATGGACAAGATCCATTTAAAAAATGTAACTTTCAAAAAGTGTAGTCACAATTGTTAAAAATATGTTTATTGAAATTCTTGAAGTATTTCCTTGATAAATCAATGTAAATACCAAGTAAAACGCACATTACACATGCCAGAGGCAGAAATTGTGATGAGTCACAAACGAGATTACAAAATCTTTTTTCAAGTCTAAATCTTGATGTTTATTGATTTTTATATAACTTTACACGGTATAGATAGGTGTATATAACAAAATACTAGTTGGCATTATTAATTTTTACAGATGGAAATCAATTACTTGATTATTTTATTGCACTTCTAGTCCTGTATTGTGATGAGACTTGAGCTGATTTATAACAATGAATAAATTTTCTGTGGAAACTAGACAAATTAATACAAAAATTCATTAGCTGATAAATGTATAAATGTTTTAATACATCAGTACTTGTTGATCTCATAATATATAGTATTTTATCTTGAAGGCTCTTGAAAGTGAGCATTTTTACTAAATTTTGGTCATCAGTATTTAAATAACCATTTTGGGTGTTGTGAATACTTGTATTTACATAATTATCTAAGCATCTTATAATTTCAGATTTTGTGTAGTAGATGTCATTTGATAATAAAATAGTAGGCAAGTTTATGAAAACGCTATCATTATATTAATATTTATTCCTCATGAATTATACTGTCACCTTCAGTGTTTATATGATTTTTTTTTTTCTAAAAAGGTATAAAAATATATGGGCCTAGTCATATCTTTGAAGTAGTCAGTTCATCAACAAATCTTATAGCTAAATTGGAATTGGGTCGCTCAATTGCGAACATCATTCTTAGGCAAACATAATGTATTAACCCAACTTGTAACACTATCAGGTACTCAGAAATGCCTGAATAGGCCCATTTTACATAATTTTATGTTCTTTAACTATACCTATGTAAGTCATTAGTCCTGGAAGTCATTGCACCAAAGTTTATTTACTTAACTTAGTTGAGTTAATTTTATAGTTGTTGATTACTTATAATTTATTACTGTTATTGTACCCTTATAGATTTTATTTCCATTAAATGCATAGGTATGTAATACCAAAATATAATATATATTATTATATATATGAATAGAGTAATTACTTCTTTCTTTAGATGCTATTATGAATACAGTAGTTATAAATTAAATTGATATATGTATAATGAGTGTTAGGGCAAAAAATCGCCACAAAACGTTTCAAAATACCCATGTACAAATGTATTTGTAGATCGGTAAATCAATAAAAAACATATAAATGATATTGTTTTATTATTTCAGAATATCCTACATACCGCCAAGTACACTTAATTACTTTAATTATATTATCATAGTCTAAACGGTCTAAATATACACAATTTTCCCAGTCATAGGTAATATGAGTACTTACAACATAAAACTGCAAGGCCGGTCCGTAAACATTTTTGCACTATTATCACTATATATTATAGGAAAAAATACATAAATTTTAAATATAAGTTCCATTCAACCCGGTTGAACGTTTATTTTGATATTTTTCCAGCGAATATTTTGAACCATTTTTAGTTCCTCGATTTTCCGCGAACTGTCATCTTACTGTCACCAGTGTCACCAACTGACATTAGGTTGGCTTTTAATTTCAGTGTGAACGAAACCTTTTGAGATTCTACCAACATAAATCCTACCATTTTTAGGATTCCGTACCCAAATATAAAAACGAAAACCTATTACTGGCACGTGGCGTGCGAGATGCCAATTAATTTCATATATTTACTATCGTTAGAGCTACAATTTCATGTTGCGTGTGTCGCCACATGGTTACAGCTGATTGGTCGCCACCGCCACGGCACAACAGTCGGATGTATCTCTAGATTTAGACTTCGTTGTCCGATTATTTGTCTTCCTGTCACCAAGCTCTCATGAACTGTGATGGATGAGAGTCGTTTTTTTCATCAGTGGGCACATATTAGTCTAGTGATAATGATTTCGTTGGGGCGGTATATTATGTGGAATTTAGGGTTTGATGAGACTTATAAACATACCCTTCAAACCTACAAGATTTTCTTAAATTATCATATCAGGAATTGATTAACAAAAAACGAGTAGATTATTATGATAAAACATTCTCAATCTCAACATTTAAAAACCAATTAGCATTTGGTACTGCAAGTACCTACGTAAATACTGGATATTGTCTACTTCAATGGATAAATACTTGAGTAATTATGGAAATATACTTGGCATTTACTTGATATCTATGTACCTATTTTGAGTATCTATTTTTTCAAAAAATCACCCTTTTATATATCAGGTCATCAGTAAATAAGGCGTAAAGTTTAATCTTTTAGTAGTCTGGGTCAGCTGTCAGTTTTTTTACTGTAATAAGAATTATTAGACTCATAAATGAATTACGTAATGAATTCATATAAGAATAAGAAAGTCCAATAGGTTTCTTTTTTTTCCAATAGGTTTCATAGTGATCCGAATGAAAATTTGGTAATAATTTACATAGACAAAATTGGCAACATTAAATTGGTGAGTGATTGACGTGTCGGGTGGCGTTTTGGCTTTACTGCTTTTTCTGTAAAATCAAGTACAAAACTTAGATAATTTCAATCATCTACGATGAGTCGCCGCGACAAAAAGGAAGACGAGGATAGTGGTTTTCAGAATTTGGACAAAACTACCCTTTTGCAAGAGGCAAGATATTTTAACTCAACACCAGTTATTCCGAGAAAATGTATACATATCCTTACAAAAATCCTATATTTGCTAAATCAAGGGGAAAAACTAACTACTCAAGAAGCTACTGATATATTTTTCGCAACTACTAAGTTGTTTCAATCGAAAGATGTGGTGTTACGCCGACTGGTATACCTAACCATAAAGGAGCTTAGTTCCATGGCACAAGATGTGATTATTGTGACATCATCTCTTACTAAAGATATGACTGGCAAGGAAGATTTGTATAGAGCTGCTGCCATTCGCGCTTTATGCACAATTACTGACAGCACAATGTTACAAGCAATTGAGCGCTACATGAAACAAGCCATAGTAGACACGAATCCTGCAGTGAGCTCTGCTGCTCTGGTGTCAGCTCTTCACTTATCGGCTGCAGTACCCGACCTAGTACGTCGATGGGTGATGGAGGCACAGGTAAATTCACATTTTATTAAAATTGAACTTGGCTGAGCTGCTAAAAAAATATTCTATCTCTAAATATATTAACAAAGATTTCTATTATATGTGATACCCATAATATTACCAGAGAATTAAAGTTTTGTTAATTTGAACTAAAAGCAACATGATTATCATGCTATTGCAATTTTAGTTCGCTATGCATTACAAGTTTATATTGCCTTTGCTAAATGTTTTGTTATATGGTGTATTTTTTCAAATTCATTACAAGGCCTACAATCTGCATTCCCCTCTAGTTTATAATTTGATTTTCACTCTCTTCCTGATGACATATTTATCTGATATTCGATTTGATATGTAATAATAAAAGCCTATAATATTTTTAATACTAAAAGCCTGGCTCTTTCTGCTAAGCGAGACTTGTTTCACTAATACATTAGTTGCACTACTCTCAGTACAGTAATTTCTGAAAACTTCAATTCACACCATCTCCTAATATCTTTATCTATCTTTATACACAACAATATGTTTTATGTTTACTTTTCATTCTTTCAGGGTGTCATCACATCCGACAATGCAATGGTGTCATACCATGCTTTAGCAGTAGTTGCAGGAGCTCGTCGCAATGACCGCCTCTCCACTGTGAAACTTGTAACAAAACTGGCTCGGACACCACTCCGTTCACCTTATGCACTTTGCCTCCTTATTCGTTATGCCGCGAAATTAGCTGAAGAGGACCAAACTGATGCTTCAGAACCTTATGTGGACTTTATTGAATCCTGCTTGCGTCACAAGTCTGAGATTGTAGTTTATGAAGCTGCACATGCAATTGTAAATTTGAGAAAATCTGCTCGTGATCTTGCTCAAGCTGTTTCTGTTCTGCAAATATTTTGTGGTTCTTCTAAGGCAACAATGCGCCTAGCTGGTGCGCGGACATTAGCTAAACTAACAGCAAAACATCCAAATGCAGTAGCAGCCTGTGCAGTTGACTTGGAAAATTTAATTTCGGATCCAAACCGCTCTGTTGCAACTCTAGCTGTTACTACTCTTCTAGCTACAGGAGCTGAGAGTTCTATTGATCGTTTAATGAAACAGATATCTAGCTTCATGTCAGAGATTTCAGATGAATTCAAAATCGTAGTAGTACGGGCAATTAGGCGCTTGTGCTCTAAGTACCCACGTAAACATCAATCACTTGCATCTTTTCTAGCTGGTATGCTTCGTGATGAGGGAGGATTGCAGTATAAAACTGCTATTGCTGATGCAATTATTGCTCTCGTGGAAGAAAATCCTGATGCAAAAGAGACAGGCTTGGCACACCTATGTGAATTCATTGAAGACTGTGAGCATGCGTCGTTAGCTGTGCGCATATTGCATATTTTGGGTCGTGAGGGACCAAAAGCTCGTCAGCCATCCAGATATATTCGATACATATATAATAGAGTGATTTTGGAATCTGGCCCAGTACGTGCTGCCGCTGTTTCTGCTGTTGCTCGTTTTGGAGCTGCTCGTCCAGAATTGCTTCCTAATATAAGCGTACTTTTGGCTAGATGTCAATTAGATGATGATGATGAAGTACGTGATCGTGCGATATATTATAGCGCAATTTTGGATTCTGGTGATGCTCAACTCATCAATGACTATATTATTAACGTACCGATACCTAATCCTGTGCTCCTGGAAAGAGCATTACACGATTATCTTAATTCTGATGGTGATTTGTCCGAACCTTTTAATTTGGCCACCGTCCCTATTATGGCTGAGGAGACACCAGAGCCAAAGGAAGCTCCAGTTGAAATCGAATCACGAGCACCGATCGTTTCTCGTGAAGAGCAATATGCTGATCAATTAAAAATCATTCCTGGCATTGAAAAACTTGGACCAATATTTAAAACATGTGAGTCTATTGACTTGACTGAACCAGAAACAGAGTACCGTGTCCAATGCGTAAAACATATTTTCGCTCGTCATTTGGTCTTACAATTTGAATGTTTGAATACATTGAGCGATCAACTTCTTAAGAAAGTTCATATACGGTTAGAAGCTGCCCCTGGTTACAAAATGCTAACTGAAGTTCCTTGCGAACAATTGCCTTATGACAAACAAGGCAGTGTATTTTGTGTTCTTGAATTTCCTGAAAATCCAATTGAAACTCTGGGAACCTTTGGCGCAACATTGGAATTTGTGGTTCATGATTGCGATCCGACAACTGGTTTACCAGATTCAGGAGAAGGATATGCCGATACTTACCCATTAGAAGAAATAGAAGTGAGTTGCGCTGAACAATTCAGGACACGCGCAGCTTCGGACGACTGGGAAGCAACTTGGGACAGGGCTGTTTCTGCAGAAGAAGCTTGCGACACTTTTGGTCTATCTCAGTCCGACGTTGGGGAAGCTGCTAAAGCCGTATGTGAACACTTAGGGCTACCGAAGGGTGCCATATCAGGAGATGCAGTGAAAGAAATCCGCGGTGGTGGTATTTGGCGCGGTGGTACCCCGGTACTCGTTAGAGCTCGGCTGGTCATGACTGGAGGCGCGGTAACTATGCAATTAACAGCCCGCTCGCCTCGCGAAGATATTGCTACTTTATTGTTGGCTGCCGTCGGTTAGTGTTATTTAAGAACTATTCGTAATCTTAATGTTAGCTCGTGCCTTTCTTCAAATAACCAGAGTGAGTTTGAAAGCGAAACACCGTTCAGCAAATTATCGTTCCTTGCCACAGCTTTAGTTTTGAAGACTATTTCCATGGTGGTAGGCTTTGGCCAACGTCCTTATGACCACCCACCGAGGAAAAACGTCCCGGTAAGCGGCCTAAACGTGTTCCTCCACGAAGCTCGGTGACGTCGAATGAGGGGATGAGTTAAAGTGGGTGTTCCAATTCTGGCATCGGGCGGCCAGTCGTGGAGGGTAGCAGGATCCGACGCACTGCTGGCCGACCGCGGATAGTTGTGAGCCCAAGTAACGTGCTAGTCACAAATGAAAGGAACAGCCTTTCGAAAAATCTCATGGGTACGCAATCGTGCCAGTTGGCGACCGGAGGAGAGGGTACGATGGATACCCGTTTGGGGGCTCGGGCGTCCCCGCAGTCTCCAGGCTGGCCTCGTAATGATGTAGCTAACAGCGTAGCAGTGCGCGTCTGTGGGTCGTCTCTGTGAAAACTACCATCTCTTCAGCAACCTTTCTTCACTTCCTAATATGTCAAATCCACAACCATCTTGAGACTGGGAACCTACCAGCCTGTTTCTTTCGAAGACCCAAATCAGATATCCGTCCGACGTATGTTATTTAGTTAGGCTACCCGGGGTACTCCCTGGAGCACAAATTCGTTCCACGTGCTGGTGTAAACATATACGTTCGCGACGGCGTCTGTTACCGGCTTACTCCAACTTGTCTATTCTCTGGATACTGGTAGATGTTGGAATGAAAAAGATTCTTTATGCCTGTGTCTTTCGGTTACATAACGGAGACGACCCGGCGGGTACAACGTCTTAGTGAGGCGTCTTAACTGGTGTTACTGGGTAACTTCATTGCCCATCGCCAGGAGTGGAAGTTCGAATCCAAAGCCTCGTACACAGCTTCAAAGCCTTTCGGTCTTCTATCGGATAAATTTCGGTGAGTGTGCGTGGGAATTGTACAACCTTATTCCCCCTAGTTCGTTTCACCATCGTACTACCATACAAACAGCAGGGCGCCGCCCTACATGGATATTCCACCCGTTCGCACAAAGCGTTTCGCATCGCGTTTTATCGTGCAAACGGCTGAGGAATGGAATTTCTTGCCAGAAACTGTTTTCCGACAAATACAACTTCAAGTCCCGAGTAAACAGGTTGCTTATACGTACAAGTTATTATGGTACGCCTACCTAGGCGTGGTCCATCGTCGGCCACATCAACGCTTACCACCAGGCGAGATGGTGGCCAAACGTCATCCTATCAAGTATAAAACAAGTACACATAGGTACTGTCAGCAAAATTAATACAAAACTATTAAATTAGACAAAATTCTTTGTTGTTTTGTGTTACTAAAAATTACTTGCTAAAACTCACTCTGCTAAATGTTTATTACATTATATCATTGTGAGTAGTATATGAATGTTATATTATATATTATACCTACCTACAGTAACTGTTTTTATCTTTGCTGTCATATTACTACATAATATTTAATTGTTGTCAACTAATTCAAGGAACTTCATAGATGTACATGAATTTTATGTATTTGATATTGTGTACTATATAAATGTCCTTACCATACGTCTATTTACGTCAACAGCAGTTAAACGATTGCGCAATACTGATATTGCACTCTATGCACGGACTCTGACCGAAACGTAATACCTACATACTATTCATTATGAACGTCATGACTAGGTATACAATACACTAATATACAAGTTATGCGTAATGAACATTATACTTTTAACACATTTTAGCACAGAGTTTTTACATTATTCTACTACTTATTTACGTGAGATGTGTCATATATACTATATCTATATATTTTATAAAAAATCTTATCGTTGATATTTTATGTAAACTGTGGCTTATTTAAATAAAGTTTATAACACTAAGTTGTATTTTAATAATGACCTATGGACTATTGATTGTTACCCTCTCCTAAGTAGACTGCCAAAGCCAGGCAGTAAGATGACAGTAAATAAGTACCCAAGTGTATAAATAAAAAGATATTAGGTATTTCTAATGAATCAAATCAAATATAGGTGATGAACAAATCCATGAAGGAGGATTATTGAACGTAAGTATACGATATACCCTATTAATCTGTACTATATAGAGTAGCGCCGCGATGAGCCTCTAGCATGACTTGAAACTAGTCGAGTTCCTCGTCAAATAATTACGTGAGTAAGCCGAAAAACAATAATTAATTTAATATGATCCACGAAAGTTAAAAGTCTGGATATACTTTTTACTTGGTAATGCTGTACCGTTTATGTAAAAAAGAGCGTAAAACACAATATTTTTCTTAAATTAACTAATAATAACCGACCACTTTATAATAGAGTTAGTAAACATAATTAAATATAGTAAGTTCCGTACCTACTTTTAAAAGTAGATGTTATTATCACGGATCTATCGCGTGGCCAGTAGCGTGGCATTGCGTAGTTTACGACTAGGTAAGTACTGCTACGTTCAATGACTCATTAGATAGGTACATTCTATGTCTGATCACTATAAACGTTTATTTTTTACTACAAAATATAAATCATTAGGAGCATCTACATTTTGACCCCAACCCACCACTGACTGCTGAAGTAGGTACCAGACTGACAGCTAATGTTCCAGTACCAAATTCCACGGTAGGTACAGTGACTAGACAGGTGACTGTGGCTGTTGCTCGACTATTGCGGGTTCGATTCCCGCACAAAGCAATTCCTTGTGTAATATATAATTGTTGTTCGAGCCTTCCGTGCCTATTATGTGTAGTGCGTAGGGATTTGCCGTAACAGGCGTTGCACTTTGAGATGAGGACTCCATAGCAAGCCTATAAGAGGATCCGGTACTCCCGGTAAAGGTGGTAATAGCGGCCACTGCGGTGGTTTAAATAAGGTAAGAATCCCACACTTCTAAGTAGTCTTTCTCCTAAAAAACTTAATCCCCCCTCTCCCAAGGTGTGGTATTTGAATATGTATATTTGGTAAACGAACCCATCATGACACGATAAAAGGTATCTTTACTTTTAGCTTATGGTTACGTATTTTGTATAATATTTTGAAACGTCGGTGTTGATAAAGCGATTCTGATTGGGTAGGTCAATACTTACTAATGTATTCAGGTTTTAAAAATGGACTATGAAATGATTAACGTGACCTAACCGTCTATTAACAAAGCATCAAAATATCCTTATACATATAAGAATTTTCAAACTTCCCTCGCAGAAATTAGAATTTTACTGAATTTTTAGAGTAGAGAGTACCTACATACCTTTATCACGCAAAACTCTTATAAGGCCGTCTGGGCAGGCTGAAAAAAAATTAAGCCAGGTACATACCTAGTAAGTACTTGACAGGTAAAGTAAAGGATCTCAACTTGAGTTACATACCTACGTTCAACAAGTCACACATGTTACTGATAGGTAGATACTAGTACCTACCTATTATTATGTAACGTATAGAGAGCCCCTGATTTAAACTATAAACTAGGCCACCCATCAAAGCATATAAAAAGATGTAAGTAATTGAGCAGTCAGACAACATTGATCTGTTGATTGAAGTAAATATTGTGAGTCCACCTTTATTAGGTAATTACATCTTCTATGTCTGATTATATCTACGTAGGCAATCTAGGTGTTATTATAGGCTGTATACTGCTACGTACTGGCTTACGCCACCAACACCCGAGACATACACGTGAGTGTTAAGTCTGATGTAGGTAGGTAGTAACCTACTCATTTCTTGCCCTTACTTTCTCGGGACTTTATCTCTATTTATTGTCGTTTTTAAGTCACCTTCAAACTTTGCAAAGGGAGTTAAGAAGAATCTGTTTCTTTCGGGAACTATTCTATAATTATTCCCTTGTCTATGTCTTGTCATTCTCGTTTCAGTTTATGTCAGTGCGTCGTCGGCGTCACGCCAGACGCACAGGGTGGGTAGTTCATTTTTAAGAGGTAATTGACAGACCAAACGTTAATGTAACTCAATATTACCTAATTGTACTTAGTACTTAGTACTTAATTGTACTTAGATAATTAAATAGTGATCTACCTAACTGATTAGTAGTGATGAGATAAAAATAAAGATGCCTAAGGCAAAGACAAGTACACTTTGGTAATTCAAATAGGTAATTTATATCGTCCACCATCGTCAAGTCTCTATGTTCCATTTTAAACAAAATATAACAGCAGCTGTGCTTTTCCATACTGAAAAATGTGGAAAAGGGACTGAGAACAGTGCACTTATTTCTCTTCAAGTTCACAGTCTCACGTCGCGAAGTCCTGAACCGTTTGGGGTCTCGTTCGTTCAAGACGAGTTAAGTAATTTATTAACCGACTTCAAAATGCAACAAAAGGGAAGTTCTCAGTTTAACATTTATGTATATGTATGTAGGTAATGTATGTTTGTGCGATTTTTTCACGATTGGCTGAACCGATTTTGATGCAGTTTTTAGACAGCTGTTTGTTTGTTACACTCATATGGACATAGGAGCTTGTTATGATGTCTACCTAGCCTTGATAAGCCGTCTACAGAGAAGCACTTTACCTACTAGCCGAAGTAGGTAATAGCTATTCGTTAGTATTTCCAGTTCCAGTATCGGTACCAGACATCGGCGCCTAGGTACTTACGTACCTACTACCTTCATGTGGCAAACTAGCGCATGAACAATTATAATTTCTAACAATTCTTGCGAATAACAGGTTTATATTTGACCCTATAGTTAGGTAGCATACATTACAGCACTTATTATAAGGGAGGGTACGATTGTCTGATACCTAATTCAGCATAATAATTTTAGAGAGCTACATTCTAACTTGTAAGTGCGTCATGGCCACGCGACACTGAGTTAAACACGTACGAAAATATCGCGCTCTCGCTCTCATGCCACGTGCGGTGCGGAATAATCCTAGAAAGAGAACTCCTATCCCACTCCATCAGAGCCGTTCACGTGTTTTTGAGCGTGAACCTTAGTGATGTTCAATCTTTATTTACGTCCAATCATATCGAAGAATCGATTATAGTAAATATTTTTGTTAAGTAATTTTTTATATTAGATGGGATATTTTTTACTAGACTGTTAAAATCAGACAGGTTAAAGTAATAATTTGAAATTACAATTATTAATTCTATATGTAGAATTGGAGCTACGTAGGTAAGAACTTCTTATTTCAATTCTAAGGACGAATATACCTATTTTTCTAAAAAAAATTTTTTTCGTTTGCTAATACGTTTAATTTCGTTGTATAGGATGTGCACTTTTAGATGCAACCGTGAAAACACCAAATTACTGAGCCCCGGCTCGTACCAGCTACCAGGACAGTCTAGTTACCAAAAACCATGGAAATTCGAGTAAAAACTAAGTAGGTTTTGTGTTGAAAACATTAGTTTTTCCTTTTTTTTATGTACTTAACTCGTCGAGTACCGGTTTTGTAGACACAATTATAGAACAATAGGTTGCGGTCACCGGTGACCGCTTGGTGTTTGACAGTTTAATAACGAAAAATAATCTCAATTTCAGCAGAAAATTTCATTTTAAATTCTATTGTATGATTACTTCTGGTTTTTTTCTTATTTGTTGAAATGTCTGTTTTGGGATAGTATAAAAAATACATTACTTCTACCATATTGTTGCTTACAGAGTTAAAACAGACATTCACAATAATATTTTAAGTGCGATACGAGATCTAGAACAGACGACCATTACATTAAGTATACGCTTCGCAATCGATTTCTATCGATTTATATTTATCGATATAATCGCAAAAATCGGTGCTGTGTACGAGCAACACTACAACAAACAGCAACGGCTCCGGCTAGCTGAACGTTTTGTGAGAAGTAACTCGTAACTCATTCGTTTTGTCGTTTGTTCTTTTATTAGGTACTGTTAAACTTATATATTCGTCGATCAATATTAGATGTCGAAAAGTTTAAAAGTGCTATAATTTGTTACGATAATAACGTACTAATTACTGTTTGAAACTTGATTAACTAAAGTGACCCTTGTGAAAACGGAATATTCACCTACTCTAAACAAGGATAACGTGATTTCGGCATTGTTTCTTTTGTAAGTTTAAAAACTTATTATTAATTTTACTGAGGTTTTGATTACCACAATCTTGGTGATAGTTATAGTTTATATGTCAAGGATGAAGCAGTGTTATAAAATACTTTGAGGCTACGCGTACGCATGCTGAAATACAGATCTACAGTTTGAATGGTCCAATTAAATTATTTTTATTTGCACCTGTAGGTATTCAAGGTGAATTTAGACAAAGATGTGCCCTATTAATGGCTGCTATCTTGTGCAGGTATGTGAAGAGTGCAATGCCCTTTTTATATTAATCAAAACTTGGTAAATAAAATACTGACAAAGTTTGAGAACACACATTGAATTTGTATTCTGCCAAGATTTTTAAAATTGTTCTAAGAATTTTTTTTTTTAAATACATGTAATTCTTTAATGTTTAATGATTTCGCAATGCGATTATTTAACACAAACATTATCAAAATTCTAATAAACCAATTGGAGCTAGCGATTTTTTAATTTTAATTTCCTTATCATTGTCGTGATCATCATTGCATGGCAGTCAAGTACTGGACTATTGGCTCCTCGATAAAAGATGGCATGCCATTTGTTTATTTTGTAAATAAAAAAGTATATTCACATAGAAAACACATTGAAAGTTACTCACCTGATTCTACAGTTCAATCAAGTATCAACTATGTACTTAACTACTTAATTCACTGTCATTTAATTATAAATAATATTTTATAATACTTAAACTCACAGAAGTTATACCTCAAAAATTTGCCTTGAAACTCATAGATCAAAATCTTATAAGAAATAACAAATAAGCACCGAATTAGAAATCTAAAAAACTTAATGACTATTGAGAATATTATCAAGTGTATGTTATGACGAAAAAATGTAATAAAATGAAACAATAACATTAAACTGTCAAACACCAAGCGGTCACCGGTGACCGCAACCTATTGTTCTATAATTGTGTCTACAAAACCGGTACTCGACGAGTTAAATATTGTTATTGTGACCTTTGGAATAGCTATCCTTAATGTTGACAAAATACAAACAAAAATGGTACCTAAAGAACACAACTGCTTGCGTTAATAAGAAAAAAATAACAGCCATTAGAAAGACAACACTTATATTTCCAATTATTAGAAGAACTTAATTATAAAATTTAAAATATTATAGGTACCTTTCAATGCAGACTATAGCCTGCAATTTTTTTTTAAAGTTACAGCTTAATCAATGTCTTTTTTCATAGAATTATGCATAGTGAGTGCAATCTTTGAACAAAGTATACAAGTGTATGTCTATTGTCTAGCGGCTCTAGATATATTCCTGTAATTAAGTATATAATTTTTGGCCTATTCCATGACTTTGTACGAAAACAGTTTCTATTTCAATTCTTTGATTAAAAAAAAATGTTATTTTAGCTTTTACAAAATACTAGTTGACCAGAGGAAGCCCACATGTACACACATTCAAGCATTCATTGGCGCTTACACCAAACTCTATACAACATACTAACTATACATAAAGACATAGACAGCACATACATAACAGACTAGACATAAAGGCAATTTAACCTACACCTTTTTGTTAAATTCTTTTATACAATTTTGAACTTAAATTTTTTGATATAAAAGTCGAAAATCCAATGAGAAAATTTTTACAGATTCGAGTAGGTTGATCTGCCTGGCACCTGTACATATTCATTCATTAGTATTTTTTGCATAATATGATATAGGTATGTAATTTAGGACTACAATTTTATAACTAATGACAAATTAGTAATATCTAATTAGTAATCAATTATTATAATCACATTTTGCTAAATATCATGGTTGTATGAAATTATAAAATTTATAAATATTGGAAACAATCTGTTACCAATATAATTGGTTCTAAAACACAGCAATTCAATATGATAAAATACTAATGAAGGAATATAAGACAACATCAAATGAATAAAACTTAATTAGCAGAAATATTGCATAGGAAGGAGTATCTAATAAAGCAAGAATTTTTGTCATTGGCTGTTGCAATTGTACATTTAATATCTGCGAATTCACATATTAATTGTATTCATCATCATTAAACAGATTGTCTATATAATTTAAATTCTTATTGGTATTCTGTTGGCATTCAATGAGATCTCAAAGTATGGAATCAAAACTTTTATGCAGTTTGGCATTATGTATTGATTTTCTATTGAAACCAATAGTTTAATGCCATTAATAACATGTGTAACACAAACTGACAAGCCATTGCCAAAGTGCGAATTGTATTATTTTTAGACACACAGCAATTTGATTTTGTTCACTATAATAAGCCTTGTTTCCACAATAATTACATTTATAAACAAGGTTTTCAATTCAGAGAGATTAGTTATTATCTAATATATAATTATTCTTTTCAACAGTAAAGACCATCAATGCAACATGGACAACTTGGATGATTCAGAGAACAATGCGAAGATTTCAGATTCGGCATACTCCAACAGTTGCAGTAATAGTCAATCTAGAAGGAGGTAAGTAAAAACTTATATGCTATTACAATAATATTACAATGATACTTACAAATAAGGATTATTGTGTAAGATAGTAATTAGAGTAATTTGTTATCTGTACCGTTATTAGTACTTTTTTAGTCTTAACTCACCACTATTTGTTTTAGTTAATATAAAAACTATAAGCCTTATTTTTCCACTGTTCATTTTTATTTATATCTACTATTTTAGGATAAAGTTAGATGATTATTTATATAAATTTTAAAAATGTTTGTTATTGTTACAAACATGATGTTTTTTCTCTAACACTTTTACTCTCTTTTGAATGGCAATCGAATAGCACAGGCACTTATTTAAAGCATGTAATATTTACGTCAAACCACCAACTTTTAATTCACTTGTTTACAAACACTGAAAATTATACTTTCATGGTGCAATATTTGGATGAGTAACTGGTAGTTTATTGTGAAGCTAATTTTAAATAGATAACTGCAAGGCACCACCAGGATTGCAGTTGTAAAAGAGGTTTGTTTAATTGTATTGCTTCGAAATCGGAAACATATCCGACGACACGCGTTTTACACCGGAAAATCAATAAGAACCGAGTTGTCAATTTCGCTAACGTCTACGGCGCATCCATAAGTATCTGCATATTACATAACGTATAGCTACAATGCAGTTTGACAGGAAGCGACAAGTGGAACGCTCTATCGTGATTTATTACTTACCAAAAAATTTAAAGATGGACTACATAATATTGTTTTACATGTACTTAGTTATGTACTCAGTGATAATAACCGCGCATATCATATTTTTAAGAGTTCTAGCCAACTGCAATGTGTAGAAATAGTAGTTCTCTTTTTTGTTTATTATTATGTATAATATATTTGTTTTGTTTTCATTACTGTGTGCATGGTAACTAGCGTTGGGATTACTTGGGATTAGTGATGAATTTATTGTACCAAGGAATGAATGTAAGTTTTTGCTCCATTTTAGTTTATTTAGGTCGAAGTAATTCGTTTTAGAATGAGTGTTAAATTAGTTAAACTTTAGGACGGAATTATTTGGTGATACCTTACATGAAACATGATTTCTCTTGCAATTAGTGGAAGTTGAGTATTTCGTTATCATTGTTATAACGCGATAATGGCGCGCCTTTCAGTTAGCGCGTAGTATATGGAACATAGGTACATTCGTAATGTATGTAGCTACACACGTACAAACTTCCTTTTACTACATTCATAAACTCTATTCGAGTTATAATTTAGGTTCCATTTTCTATTAGTATCCTCATAATTACGAAACCTCGCAAGCACATTATGTACGACTACGCTACGACTCAAGATATTATTATTTACAAATAAATAAAGTTCTTGGTATCACGTAACAACAAATAAACAATTAAGAAAATATTTATATTTTGATATCACAGGCAGATATCTACTTCAAGTTTCATACTATTAATTACGTATACCTAGTGAATAATGTAGATAGTGCGCACAATAAAAACTGAAAAGCAAAAAATACCTAGGTATTAAGTATTAGTACGTAGTAGGAGAGCCATGATTCTGCACAAATAGGACAGCTCGACCGGAGTGATACCACGGCCTCATAGAAAACCGACGTGAAACAAGGGAAAGGAGGACTAATCTCCCCTATCTCCAAAGCCGGTACTTTTAACTCCTCTGGTGTTTCAGGTGTCCATGGGCGACGCCGATTGCTTTCCATCAGAGGCCTTAGTACGAGTTCAAAGTTCAGTTAAAGTAATCGTAACAAGTACGCGTTCTGCGTTGTGAATGGCCGGCTCCAATGAACCAACCAATCAGAGCTCCGGACGCCGTCTTGTTTACTCGGTGTTTGACAGTTTAAACGAAAAACAAACTCGCACTAAGGCCTCAGGTGATCCATCTGTTCGTTTACCGGCTTATCCCATCATTACCATCTACCAATTTACGAATCTACCTAAATTATATCAATCATAAATATAGCCAATGTGAATGTTATTCCTAGAGATTTTTACCTGTTTCTTGTTGGCTTCCGAGGGTGCCGCAGGGGCCAAAGCTAATGAGGAAAGGAAATAAAAAGATACGCCCCAAATTTGTTTCTAAGTTATGTTTACTTTACTTTATTACTCGGAGAGACGTACCTATACATAATATTATGTTAGTTTTGCGACTATCGACCGTATTTGTGGGATTCCTTTCCTGATATGCGCATTTAGAACCGAAAAAATATGTTTTATCACTACATAGTATAAAACAAAGTCGTCGCGGAGAACCTAACGGGTAACCGGGGCTCCGACTCGGCGTGCAGGAGAAGGAACGGGGTGGTTTTTAGTCAGTAAGAGTCTGACACTCCCTCCCGCCTCACCCAGGCGGGAGCAGTCATTTGATGATTTTCCCCCCTTAAAAAAAAAAACAAAGTCAATGTCCGCCGTCTGTCTGTCCCTATGTATGCTTAGATCTATAAATTCTGCGCGACGGATTTTGATGCATTTTTTTTAATACATAGAGTGATTTGAATAGTTTATAGATATAATACATGTATATTGCACCCGTGCGAAGCCGGGCGAGTCGCTAGTTATTCTTATAAGTTTTAATAACGTGGCTACATTATTTATTAATAGTAGATTTTTACTTTTTCATTTACTTTCAGAAATGCCTGCACTGAGGTTCTAATTAATTCTCTATGCGTCATTAAAAAATAATAATAAATGATACTTACAATTGCCTGACCTTTAGCTTAATTGAAATTTTAATCCATTTCGTAAAAAACATATGTTAGACTAACTAACCATAATTAGACGTAGTTAGTGACAACTAACTAGCATAATATCCTAAATGGGTTCAATATTAAAGTAACTAATTATCGGATTTCTACAGTTGCGGTTTTAACTAATGTAATGTTTTAACAATAAGTAACAAGGATGCAAATGAGACGGGAACCAATAAGTCATAATATTATTTTTTTGACATCTTCCTGATCAGTACTTATTTGATCCAATTTTGATGTTGTCTTCTCCGAAGATTTGTAGAGTATGTGCCCAACTGCTTTATTTATTAATTCCTTCTATTGACATTCCCTTAGGTAAACCTTCCGCGTATCATTATTATTTCCCCGCCCTCCATTTTATCGACTTTGCAAGTATTTATTTGTGAATAGCAGATTGTAGAGTCTGGGTGAATATTGAGGTTTGCTCTGTTATTGATAAAAAAATTGAGATTATTATTAATTGATTAGGTAAAGCTTCGCTAATGCGTATCTATCATGCTTATAAGATAAAATTAAACTGATGACATACACTACTATACTGTCTGTTTCTGCGGAGTGACCCACAACTCCACATCCGAACTGAACAGTTTGCATTAACAACATTGGATTGATTGTTTGGCTGTAAATTCATCACAATATCTACACTTACATGTTCTTTAGTCTCTCGCTTTTATCTCATGGGGCTAAAGGCCTACGCATATATACGTATGCCACGGCATCCCGCTGCGGTAGCCTGTGACGTGTCTTTCAATGCAGTGGAAGGAAATCCCTTTCCATGCCACTTCATCATTTATAAAGCACAGAAATGTATGTTGTATTTCTATATCAATACGTTTGAATGTCCATTATCAGAAATTTAAACCTCTTGCCATGCTGTCCCGGCTATAAGTAGAGGCTAAGAATGCCACCTACTAAGATCTTTGTTGCGTGTAATATGTACCTAGATATCTACTTCAATTTCAACTGGCTGTATCATACGTATTCGCTGACTTCGTGAGATAATTGTTATAAATATGTGGAAATATTGCAACGTGGATGTTACTGTCTCGTAGCTGATACATGCAAATGTCGTTTATGTAACACCCACGTAACAATCAAACTCACTTTGGATTTTCTGTCAGTCTAAGGACTTGTTTCACAATGCCTATTTAAGTTGGTATAATCTAAACTAACAATCTTTTACGTTACGAATGAAAAATTATCCGTGAAAACACTCGCACACAAACAGAATCTTATTTAGTCTGTGTCTGTTAAAATTAGTTATGTCAGTATTCCTCATTCTGAGAGGTTGAACAAGCTTATGGTTTTTTATGCACTTGTATTTTACTTAAATGTGTTTTGGTGGTTAGGGATCAATTAAGAAGATGTCTGCGATCAAATATAATAGGTACAACAACCTGTTTAAGAAATCAACATATCACAATAACTTACAACACGTAGTATCACATTTGGTTTATTGTAAGGTCAATGTCATCACAGTCCTAATCATTTGGTTATAGGAGATTTCCTATAATGAACAAATTCGATTAATCGACTTGGTCACAATTTAGTGTTGAGTATTATTCACGTTTGACGTTACACATTCTTTCCGCTCCACGGCCATTGTTAAGCCAACAATGACATTACTGACAAAGAAAATCTTAAATTTTGTTATGAGATCCGCCTTCATAAATGTAAAGCTTTTTTGTACTTATAGACTTCATATTTGTTAGAAAATTGGGATTTATTAGTTACTTTGTTTTGTTAATATGTTTTTCATAAAACACTACTTTTCGGTAACCGCTAATCGAGGATTATCTATTTTGTGTAAGTACTAAATCAGTGCTGAACTCTAACTAAAAGTCACATAGGCTATTATTTAGTCTTTTGTTTGCCGTTATGTTTTGTCTAACGATGGCCATAATAAATCTATGTATTAACGCAATATTTACATCAATCCTTTGACATGGTGATAGACACGAATGACGCAGTAACGTGCACACGTATTGCACACTATCATAATGCTGCATAGTACATTATATACGTACAATCAGCTAAGAGAGAATGATTCATTCAATCATTAGATGCATCCGAGAGCGATAGCCTCGCTAACTCACTTTATCCTGTTGCATCTAACAACTGGTTGGTACTTGGTAGCAAATATATAGTATATCTATTTGTGTTTATTTTATACAGATTGTTATGGTACACACAGTCGTTATCTAAAACATCGTGGAATATAACTAAATATTCATACAGTTATGTATGAGACTTACTTGTTTTGTGTAGGTACAAAATGCGGGTAAACATGCACTTTTACATTTTGTACTTTGCCACTTTTGTAGCATAAATAAGTGTGTGTACACGTGTGATTACACGTTTATTTAAGTTGATGTAATTACATTAATGACATTCTTAAACTATTACGTACGTACGAGAATAGTATTCTATCAAAAGCTTATTATTGTAATCAAATAAATCTAACATTTACAATTTTTTAATCTCTAACAGCATGTTTAAAGATAGGCACGTCCTGCAAAAAATGAGATCTTAATGCCATTTGTAAAGGTCACGTAGTTTCGTCGCGTTTTCTAGTAATAATGTTCCATAATTTTTCTCAAGAAATAGAACGCTATTTTATGGCTACGACCAACTTCTATTACCCATACTATACATTCACAACTTTATAGAAGTCTCAATAGCTAGTGCTAGTTCTACAATTATGTCATAAGTTTGACATTCAAGCGACCGGAAAAGTTCGGAAAGTTCGACTGAGACACATAGGTACTTTTATTTACTAAACAGGAAACATAATACATTTATTTATGAACGTTACGTTTAACGCGCCTATCTTTCGGAATTTGGGCCGAAACACATAACCGCGTTGCGTCGCCGCAACACTAAAATCGCCAGTTTGCGTTGCGGCGTTGCGACGCGTCGCGAAAAAGAGCGTTTTGTTAAAGGAACAAATAAGCAATAAGTTTTTCACGATACATGTCTCCCAGGTCAGACAGAGACTGGAACGCCAATTATTACGATTCTTACATAAGTAGGTACCTTTTTCGCTTCATCAACTTTCTTCAGTCTTTTTATACATGCTCGTTAGAATCGTAGAAAGGTTAGGAATTTATACGAAATAATCTCTCTCTAGGATTTTCGAGAAATCGTCACTAAAAAGTATTAGGATACTTTCAAGTAGGTATCCTTAATTAGTTTATGTATACCAAACTAGGGGTCGGTATACACATTTTTTTTAAGGGGTGAAAATCATCGTGTTGCTGCTCCCGCCTAGGTGAGGCGGGAGGGAGTCTAAGACTCTTACTGACCAAAAAACCACCCCGTTCCTTCTCCTGTACGTCGAGCCGGGGCCCCGGTAACCCGTTAGGTTCTCCGCGATTTCACACACACATTAGAAACATTATTCTAACAGGCAATGGATTGCAATCTTGAGTTTTTAAATCAAACACCAAATCTCCTCGTTGTGCCCCCTCAAATACCTTAAACGTCAAGGTATTTGGGGACGAAACTTTAAGGAGGAGAGTCTTTAGGGCTTAGACTGACAATGCAGTTGGAACTCTTATGGTGCTACGGGTGTCCATTGGCGCATGAATCGCGTGTCATCAGTTGCTCCGTCTGTTCGTTTACCGACCTATTTCATAACATAATACAAACATGCACAAATTGATAAAATATCTTCGTTCAAAAATAATACACTTCCTTCAGTCTGGTAAAATACTAATTCAAGTTTTTTGTTACAGTCATAGTTCTAAGTCAACACATTCTGGAAGCAATTCCAGTGGCAGCAGTGGCTATGGCGGGAAACCCTCCACATCTGGAAGCAGGTCAGTGTCAAACATTGGAAAATATTACGTAACACCCGTTTATTTATGGAACCTGTGCATTTATTTGCGAGTCGATATGTACGTCCCACACGTCCGCGTCATTAATCACAATTAAGTAATCAACGCAATTTTAAATACCTCTAGATCGTATAAATACTCGTTCGTTCAAGCTAAAGACAGTTATTTTTACTCATAAGACGTATCGATTTGTTAAACAGTTAAAATCTTGGTCTTTTTCGAAACAATAACTTAAGTTCCCGTAGGATTTTCAGGATTTTTTCTGTCTTAAGAACCTTCTCCTAATAATAACAAATACAACAAAAAGAATTAGTGAAATCGGTCCAGCCATTCACGCGTGATGCTGTGACCAAGGGAAACACGATTCATTACTATTACCTTTCTTCAAATCTTGATGATCGATCAAGTTCTAAGGTTGTATTCTATGAACCTACCTGTAATGTTGATATCCAATGGCCACTCAGCTGCTTACGTAACAATGGTAGTACACAATTAGCTGTAGTTAGCTTACCTATATTTGATTGCCTCACATTTTTTCCAAAAACAATTTTCCACTTAGCTTACTACCTAATTTATCCAGACACGTGAATTAGTTGCGAAAACTTGGTGTTGAAAAGTACCTAAGCTAAGTTATTTCTTTGTTTCTTTCAAGCTATTGTTTTTGTTTTGTTTACCTGAAGCCTTTTTTCTAGGGCTTTAAAACAAAAACAAGTATTTGGAAAAGAAACATTTATTGGTAAACGTGATCGCCTTCGCAATCATTTAGCATTGGATTGAAAAAGAAATACTTTTTTATTGACATATTTTGTAAACAAATACCTTTTAAGGATTTTTCTTGCTTCGTGCTCTTATGTAAAGAAGGAGGTTTACCTTTCATTATTGGTTCGCGACGAAATGTATTTGGTTTTCTGCATATTTTAAATTACGATATCGATTGAAGCTTTTCATGTTCATATTTTTATGTACTTTCGCGCAATATGAAGAAACACAAAATGTATGTTTCTTCAGTAATATCTTGTGTTTATTGATGTTAATGATTATGTAACACGTCTAGCCGCCCGCCTGCGTAATATTGGTACCATATCTTACTTACGACTGTCCTATTTTCCTCAAAGCAAAAATATTCAATTATGTTTCTTGCATATTTCTGTGTTTGTGTTTCTTTCGTAAATAATATTGGATATTTGTTTTTCATTAGCAACAACTTGGGTCAACCACCTAAAAAAGATAAGGAACCCAAGAAAAAGAAGCCTCAAATTGAAACAATGGTCCCAGATGTAGTTGTGGAAACGGAGGCAAGGGCGCCTGAGCCGGCCCCTACATTTGATGCTCCGAAAGAAGATCAGCTAGATGGTGGGTACCGCTTCTACTGAGCTTTATATCAAATGTTATTCGTATTATCTAGACTTTTATATAGTATGGCTTTAGTCATTTATATTGTGACACGATCAATGTTTTGTATTTTGTAGAGCTCGTATTTTGTTATCTACTTATTGTAAAAGATTTCGCTGTCGTTACTTCGCATGTTCTTTTCTGGAGGGTCGTAATTTGTGATGGGGTGTAGGTACCGAGACCTATTGGAACTTCAGAAAAATGTTTTTAGAAATAATAAATTCTTTTACTAATGAACACGGGAACTATTCGAATATTTAGATTGAGTCGAGCTTCTATCTTGATATATAAGGATTTCAAGAACATAAACGATTTCATAGGTATTCCTAATTTAACCTGGGGAAGGTCGTGCACCTTGTAGTCTTTTCCACCATCTTTGGAATCGTTATACTTGACTTGTTTATGTGTATGAACATTCCGGTCAATTGGTTAGAAGTAAAAGATCTAAGGCATTTGTAGTATTTACTAATTTACAAAACAAATGTGCTAAGGATAGCATTGGCCATTTGGCGGGAAAACCTCTATAGGGTTTATAGCGTCCAAAGTTTTTAATCGTATTCGTCTACCTACATCATCGGTTCCTGCTGCCCTATCCCACAGTTACTACGCTATGCATATGTTACCGGCCAAACCAGATTTTCAAATAACTTGGTTCATTCTAATTTTATTCGAAAATTATGTTTGGTTAGTGACATTTGCATTTATTTTATTTAGTTTCAGACTTACAGACATTTATACAAAATTCTTACTTTCTTTCTATCTCTTACTTTTTTCCGTTGATTATTTTAGTATTGGACATTACCAGAATATCCTGCTTTTAAATTAAGAACAAAGGTTCTATACCTTTGTTGTATCAGAAATTGTGAAAATAATAAAAAGGTTCACAATTCTTTTTTTTGTCAAATAACAACTAGATACTCTTTAGTTTAATTAAATAGGACCTTAATTGTATTTTTTTTACTTACAGCTTAATATTTAAAAATTAGTCGATGGATTTTCATGCATTCTGCTTAATGCGAATAATATAACAAATTATGCAAAAGCTGGAAATCTGTAGACTCAGAAAATAATGAATTTTTGATAAAATTGTGCATTAAAAAGTTTCTAAAACTAATTAATAAATAATGTCAAGACATTTGAAATACTTAATAGAAAATATTAAAATATATGTTTAACAAATATTTTCTCAACTAGTAAATTATGAATAATTGCTTGTACACAAGCGAATTAAAATCGCCACGGTCTTCTTAACCGTAAAATGAAAATGAATTGATAAAGTCTTGACAAACTAATAATAAGATGTACACAATGCAGGCTCTATGTAGTTTTGGTTCAGAAGTTTTATTAAATCGATTTATTAATTATCGTTACAGAAGGCCAAGGCGAAGGGTTATTCCAAACTTCGTGTCAGTTATTTAATAAATTTCCCCCTTATATATTCTATAGGTTCTCCAACAGCCAGGATATGTTACTCACTGCGGTCACTAACCGTACATACATACGTTGTGAGGTAAAGTATAGACAGGGCAAACATATTGTTACCTGGAATGCATGGTATGTACATGTACTATTTATTCATTTAATATGAGTATTAAACGAGATCATTGTTGCGGTGTCGTTGTCTTTTTTTTCAGATAATAATAAAATGTCCTTTAAGCACGTAGGTGCATTTTTATCTTCCGTCTAATTTTTTGTTGTGCAGTTATCCCGTCGCTACCACCTGCGCATGCGCAATCAGAGAAGGGAGTGGAGAACATGGACATATGTACCCCTGAGTTGAATACTTTAAAAGATGAGGTGTGTTTATTTCCCTTATTGATAATATTAGATTTGTTCGGTGATGTCAAAAGTGATCTTGGCAGTAGAGGTGATTCAGAGTGTTCTGAAGTACGCGGCTGCATGTCTGATAACGTGACAGTGTCGGCGGCGCCGCGCGCGCCACTCGCTCCGTTACGCATTACTATGGCTCTCGAAACAAACCGGCGCGCGACGCCTGTACTAGTTGACGTCTACTATTGACGACATACCTTTATAGCTGCCAACAACAACCAAACAACACAATCATTTCACAATTTAGCTTAATTCATTGAACATTTCATTTAGTTGACGGCAAAATGGTGAGGACTACGGTTTTAAATGTTTTTGGGGAAGAGAAACTGTTTTGTTATTTCTTTTATATAAATCTTAATTAGTGCAGTTTGAAATGATAAACATTATTGTAATGGAGTACTTTTATTTTAATGACGTTCTAGCTAGCTATAGTTAACAATATTGTTGTTGTTTTAGGTGGTTTCCTGCAACATATCTCAGGTTAATCCTGCTTCAAGCTTTGTTACCGGTCGTCCCCTGCAAGCTTCTTATTGCTCGGTAAGTACTTCTACCTTAATAACTTAAATTACTCCGATATTGCTTACCGTGTATGTGTAATTTTCGTGATTATTTCATATACTGGGGATATCGATAAACGGTGTGTTAGTTACCTCTGCCGAGAGTACGCCTGACAGTTGCACTAGTGCAAACGTAATGTTGATTCCTATGTTAGCGTCGACCACTCTTATGTACGTACTAAATAACACTGTCGAAAAAAATAACAATAATATACGACAGTAACAAATGATGTGTATTTAGTTAGCGTTTCGTTTTATCTATCGAGTTATTTTATGAGAATTTTACCGAAAATCATGCTGTACCGCAATCGACAAAAAATAATCTTTTGTCTCCGCGGTAACACTTAATTTTCTATTTACTATCCTAAGGTACAAAGTAAACGATACCAAGAGATTGGCCGCTTCGAGATGCGATGTGAGAGCTCTGAACAGTTGCGTTGCAAGGTAACTATCTTGTAATTGATGTTGTGTAATATATAGAAAAACGATGAAGCTCTGTTCTCTGCCGGTGCACAGATATCATACAAAAAAAAGTGCCAATTCCCAGAGAATCTCTAGACGCAAGGCTTTGGGCACTATCTGTGCGACCGAGAGAAAACAATGCGCGCATTTGCCAATATTGTATGCACATGTGTACCTATGTATACACCTATACATGTTTGTTCATACGCCTAACGTTTGACGTAGTGTTTTATGAAGTGGTGAATGCGAAAATATACGCTCGTGAATGAACAATGATTCAATAACTTGATAAAACGTGCGAACCTCGGAAAAAAGACTTGGTGACGTACTTAGGTAAAACATAACAGTGTTTCTAAGTTTGGGGGAGTTAGGTCGGTTTCCTTTTGAAAATTAAATACTGAAGCTAAAAACGTGCCTCTTGTATAAGGTCGATGGGAAAAAGTCTAAACCAGCTTTTTTGTTTTATTGTTCTTAATTTTCCTAAGACGCCGTGTGGTCGCGTTTTATAATAACTCAGTCCAGACTTGTGACTGGATTGGAGTTCAACTTGGGCAACAATATAATCAGTCATTAGCTGCAATATTTGCGAAACATTTAACCTATTTGTGTTTGAACGCGATAATCTCTTGCGTTTTGTTAGACGAATTTAGTCGCGTTTAAAATTAGTATTAGATGAATTTAACGATGAGTAGTTTAGGGATGTCGTGTGACGCAGAATATAATCCTGACGATACTCATTTACAGGATGGATTTTCATGCGTGATATCTATGCACGATGGTGTCGTAATGTACGCAACGTCATCATTGACGACTACTCTTGGTTTCCCCAAAGACATGTGGATTGGAAGATCATTCATCGACTTCGTTCATCCAAGGGTAAGTTATCCAGTTCTTAGATTGGTAAGTTTTAAATCTTTGTTCCTCTTATATTAATGGAGTAATTGTTGTATACAGGATCGCAACACCTTTGCATCACAAATCACGAATGGTTTGGCCGTCCCTAAAATTGTTAATGGTACGCAAGAAAAAGGTAAATTGATTATTTATTGAATCCATTGTGCCAATTCACTGTTTTATGCGATTTTGTACCTTATTTGTAATAGGTATATTGTGCATGACATTTATGTTCACATTTGTTAAGGATTACGGTACAGCCTCACGAGTACCTTTGTCCCTACACAAATGTTACCTATTTCACAAAGCCTAGTCCTATAAAATACGTGCTTCTTTGTTCTACAGCACATTAGCTAGCTTGTTCTTAGTTTTTTGAAAAAGTATACATTATCAGATTATGTTCCTGGATATTCAATTGAATGATTGGCACATGGATGGAACAAGTGAATGCTGGTTACTCCAATTATCTGTTTTATAGTTTTTGGAAATAATTTAAAATCATCGTTTCAGTTTTAAACAATAGCTCCAAAACATTTGAATAAAACCTATAAGAATTAAAAGTAAATAGACCTAGACCCAATTCATACTTCTAAAACAATAGCTTAGCTAGCTACAACTTCGTCAAGTTGACTTTTAACCCAAGTGGTTGATACAACAACTGGGCAACCACTGACTAGCCTCATTATTTTACTTATGGTGAAGTTGTGAATCAGAGGTTATTCAATCACTTGTCCTACATCAAGGGGAGCTATTTTTAAAACTGTTTTATTATGTAAGGAGAACTTTATTTTCGTTGGTCCTTTTTAACCTTTTTGGGCATTGTATTTATTTCGTGCCTTTTTTTATACAACCAGCTTTCACTTCCACGGTGTAATTGAAATTCAAAATTATTTTTATAGGTTTTTGTTTGGTATTTGTTTTGGATACCATTGGTTTTTATATTACTGACAATTGAATGACCAAGAAGGTTGGTATTGAATGAAGGTTAGTAATAGTATTATGTTCCTGATGTCAGCTTTTCTGCATTTATTTGCATAATTACTTATTGCACGGAACTGTAAGAAGATGAATTCTCAAACAGAGAGCTTCCTTCTTATATTAGTTTAGTTTACCGCATTTTATTTTGCTTAGTTTCTTATCGGTGTGCGATAGTAATAACTATTTTTATGTAATGGTTATTGGTATCATGCTTTAATCTTGTGGTGGGAAACCCCCTAAAGCTATAAGTTCTTAAAACAATTTCCTGGCGTAAATTGTAGTTAAAAGCCTATCTCGCTTTGCGTTTAAATACTTGCCTGTGGGTTTGATAAGTTTTTCAACAGGACATAAACTAAGTGCATGTTATTCCTCTTTCTGGAAGTCTATACAATATCTTGCTAACTTATAAATATGTTAGGTACATACATACCTATCATCCCTTTTCTAATACTCTTAACGTTAAGACTATAAGAAAATTCAACACAAGATATATTAATTGAAATGTATCGACTATCGGGAACGAGAATGAATGAGTGATAATATTGTGTGATTTTATGGTTGACGTCATGTTGCAGTATAAATGTTATATTTTGTCTTCAGTTCAATCTCCAGCTAACTCGGTGTCAACAATGGTTTGTCGGATACGGCGGTACAGAGGCCTCACTACAGGGTTCGGTGTTAAAGAGAGAGTCGTGGGGTTCATGCCGTTCCTGCTCAAACTCACGTTCAAAAACATAAGCGATGAAGAGGGTAAAGTCATCTACTTGGTTATACAGGCGACACCATTTTTCTCTGCGTTTAAAAGTAAGTATATTACATAACGTATCCTGTAAACACATTCACGCTCTGTGTGTAGCATTCCTTTACGTACAGTCATCCTATAAAGAACAAATAAGTTTAGGCGCTTTTGCCATACCTATTATTGGAAGCAAGTATAACAGCTTACACATAGGACCCATTTAGTTTTTAGTCAATTATCCGTGGTGCTTGGCGACTGGGCTTCACCCAGTTGGACAGTCTCTTTATTGCCTTTCGGCTTAATTCATTCTGTCTCCTGCAGTAATTCACCGAGGGAAGTGGAAACTATCATTTTTTTCTTCTCTTATAATATCTTCTGATTTACTTCGTTGCGGGAACTAAAACAGTTATTCATGTCCCTGGGACGCGCCGGACTTCATTGTTCCGGTGTTTTCATGGTTGTATCTACTGTAGATCCTGACTTACAGGAGTTGCAGCGGTTTTGGGAGGTTGTGGCGGGCTTGTCCCATTTTTAACATTCACGCTTCGGTAGAATAGGTACCATTATACCATTTCTTACCAAACATATTTTTCGTTTTTGTATAAAAATGTTCGTGTGTAGCATTCTTTTACGTACAATCATTCTGAAAGTATTATCATTGTTTCCTTTTAACTTCTGATTATTAAATAATCCGCGCAAACTATGACGTGGCTTTCTATGAAAACTATTCAATAAACGTGATGTTGTAACTGGTTACCATGCCATTTCTGACTATTATGTACCTACATCAAAGAAATAAGCCACAGAGTTGTTAAATGAATTAATGATTGGAACCAATAGTAATGTTATTTTGTCAGTTTTGAGGACTACATAATTTAATTTTGTTAATTGATCAGCCAATGAGGGTAATAATCGGTGATTGTCACATATCACAAGTTTACTTTACCAAGTCAGTAAACTTATTGACTTACTTGGTTTGATAGTCTTGAGTGAATCTACCAAAGTTCCATATTCACTACATCTAATGCACTAATTCCATAAATATGGTATAGTTGTCCTTAACTGCCAAAATGCTCCCTTCAATATGATTTTTTTCATTAATAGAAATGGTTATGTTATAGATTTTAGAAGGACAATAATTAGAATGAATAATTCTTTATTTCTTTGTAACACAGTTAAGGCTTCCAAAGTTTTCGCCGTGTTTGCGTCCTTGCAGTATGAAATAGGTCGTTAAAAATTTCATTTGTTCCTAAAGTGCCGAACGAGGTGGTGGTAAAAGCGGTGCCTTTTGTCATAAGGCATGCGGCTAACGGTCACATTGAATATGTGGATCCTGAGTCTGTTCCGTACCTGGGGTACTTGCCTCAAGACCTCGCTGACAAGGACGCGCTGATGCTATACCATCCTGATGACTTGATGTATCTACGACAAGTGTATGATACCATTGTCAAAGAAGGAGGTCTCCCTAGATCTAAGGCTTATCGGTTAGTATTAGGTTTAATAATGCACTTATTTTTTTGTTTTTATTGACTGGATTGCCATGTGAACATGAGGGTCCTCATATAATAACAATGGGATTTCTTACAGTATGATTACACAAAACGGTGACTACATTCGGCTGGAAACGGAGTGGTCATCGTTCATCAATCCTTGGTCTAAGAAACTGGAGTTCGTTATTGGAAAACACCATATTTTAGAGGTAAGGGGTTTTAATTAATTTAGTGGCATATTTGTCAATGATGAACGTGACAGAACCGAGTCGCAAAATCATCAACTGTAATGTTTATTTATAGGGCCCGACCAACCCAGACGTCTTTCAATGTCCTGAGCCGGAAAAATCAATGAAAGTTCCCGAAGAAGAAAAAAACAAGGCACAAATGCTGAGAGAGACCATTATTCGAACAATGAATGAGGTAAGCGAAATTATATTTAACAATAGCTTTGTAGAAAAAATATTGTTGAGCATTTTGTGGTTTTCAGTGAATGTAGAAATTGTTAGGGAGTTAACGTAGACCAAGGCTGAAGCTGTATAAAGAAAGACGTTTATTGAAGTGCTTATTTACCTTTACACTTTTTCGAATCGACTCATTTATTGACGAGCTCTTACTTGAGAGATTGCTTATTAGACTTGAAACGATCTGCTCTGATTTTAGTGCAAACTATCATAGTTGAAATAGTTTGTTTTCTATTGTGTCGATTATTTTAGTTTTTTTTTTTATAAAGTATCGGTTCATTGCAATGGACGTTTACAGGCTTATAATGTGGTCGTGAGTAATTTGTCTGCTTAGCAGGACAGGGTGGTCCGTTGCGCCGGGCACTCAGCGGCTCTCTGCTGTCGCACCTTGTTGATATATTTACTTTACTTTTTTGTAACAGGATTCTTGGATTCGGGTGGTAAACCTTAGAATCTAAATGTACAACTTGATGTTTAGCTTTATTGTGGCGTCTGTTTAATGAATTATGTTTACCTGATACAAATAATTATTTCAGTACGTGAATAAAAGATAAAGTAATCATTTAAAAAAAAATTGCGACTTACAGGCTTATGAAGTATAATTATTGAATGGTTTTTGATAAAAATATTTCTCTTCCTTGTTGTTGCTATTTAGTTTGATGTTAGCGAGTACGTCTTTATATTAAGTTTATCGAACTTATTAGTTTCAAGTTTCAATTATTGACATTGCTTATTTCTTTGCACTATTCAAAACTTTGTAAAGATTATGAAATTGTGGCATTTGATAGAAAATTTCATCGAATTTTCCATTAATTACAATACAGTGCACAGCGAGTAATATGTTGAAGTTACGCGCCATCTTTTTATACTTCGTACGTGTGTTGGAAGCTGTAGGCAACGTGTTCCCGGTCTTACTTAACTCGTGATTCGCTATGCTACCTCGGTAAACGGGATCGAACAGACGATTTCTTACTTACAACTGCGGCTAAACATAATTATTGAACTATCTTTGTACATTATATGCAGTCCCTGGTCACATAAAAAGATTTGTAATTCATTTATACAAGTTCATACTGTCTATACATATTCTGGACTTTTGAATTATATATAATTTGTAAATTATGTGCATTTAATAATGTGGACAGAGACTGTAGTGTCTGCTTACACCTTGTCTTAGACAAGCGTCTACATAAAATAGCATGTTATGTAACTGGCATATAACATTATTGTGCACTTGCCTAATAGTGGACACTATGACTAGAGTTAGTGTAAAATTTTAACTTGATTCATTTGTACAGGCTCTGACTAAACCCGCGGAAATAGCGAAGCAACAGATGAGCAAGCGTTGTCAAGATCTTGCTTCTTTCATGGAGAGTCTAATGGAGGAAGTGCCCAAGACTGATGAGGAACTGCGCTTAGAGATTCACGATCCTGATCACAGCTATTATGTAAGTTGACATTGTTTTCTACAATTTTAATAGTTAAAAAATTAAAATAAAGACTATCTTTCAAATTGTATTTATTGTTTGGTAAAGTTTAAGTAAAAATTTCGTGCATATGGTATAATTATGGTACGGTTTTGGTTACTTAAAGTTTCCATTTCGATAACGGTTCGTATTGAAGTTTTGTTTGACTTCTTCATTAGGCAATGTGATATCACGTTGAATCTTTTGATTTTGAAGCAATTACCTAATCACTACCCTCATTAAAAATGAGCAGGTATTACGTGCAAATAAGTGACGTGAAAGTAAGAAGGCTTCAATGGCCACGTGAGACGGTAATCAATCAATAAGTTTGTCATTTCCATCCATGTTGCGTGGTGTCCACGTGACCTTTGCAATGGTTCTCCAACATGCGCTCGATTGGGTGGGCGGGAGAGCACGTGTTCGTCATAACAGACATCCTATCCTATTTTGTTGCGTAAACTTTGTATGTCATTGTGATCTATTTCCCCGTACGTTAACAAATAGGATTAGTTACTATGTATCTACTTGTGTATCTACACTTGAAAATGATATCTATACCAATACTATAATGCTAAGGAGTTTGTTGGTTTGTTTGAACCCACTAATTCCCGGAGCTACTGGCTCGAATTGAACTAATTTTTTTGTTGGATGGTCCGTTTCTCTAGGAAGGGTTTTAGGTATAAAATATCACGTTATGGTCAATAGGAACCGAGCAGCGAGCGATCTGTGGGAGAGTAGCTCATAGTTGCTCATAGTTTTGATACCCAAAATTCTCCCCTTCATATTGGAATGTTGATATGATCCTATATATTACCGTTACCATGTTAGTTTGAGTTATCCAACTAAATAACGTGTTACGTTAGCACTGATTGTGTAACACGTCTAGATTTATTGTAAACTTCGATTCGGGTTAGTTAAACAAGTTGATTCAAGGTACAGTACTTATTTATTTCAATGAAACAGTTAGCAGGGACTTGTGTGGACAAAATATAGCGGTTTAGTTTCGTACTTTAGTTTTATGATGTTTCTTTAGGTTTTTTTTTACATATTTATGACATTCTTCCAAGCTTTTAACTTAACTCGTCGAGTACCGTCATTATAGACACAATTATAGAACAATAGGTTGCGGTCACCGGTGACCGCTTGGTGTTTGACAGTTTAAAAGCTTCTCAATCAGTATGCCATTTTGAAGCATTAACTTACTGGTTATGTAATTCTTTTTTCATTGCATAATTATATAGTTTGTTGTCTATTTGAGCACGAAAACTTCAGGTTCAGTTTTCCGTCGTTTCAAAATGTTTTTGGATATTTGGACTTCACATTTCTCAGGTGCAATATCGTGTCCTTACAATTCGATAAAACTGAGTTGTACGTTAAATGAAACTTTACTCGTAGGTATTGCAATCAGTCTTTTTCTTCAAACATTTTTTTTCTTTTTACAGGAAAGGGACTCGGTGATGCTTGGTGGGATTTCCCCACACCATGACTATTATGACAGCAAGTCTAGTACTGAGACTCCGTTGAGTTACAACCAATTGAACTATAATGAAACGCTGCAGAGGTAAGTTGTTCTCCCATGTACTATTACATGATCCGTGAGCGTAGCTTAGTCCCTGTTTCGCCACTTTAATATAAGCACTCGATAAAATGATGTGGCACATAGGTCATACATATTACGTTTCGTTTATCTGGTACATAGTGGCTATCCAGACACTGAAACAAGCCAGTCTACAATCTAGAACATTCTTTTGGGACTAAATGTATGACGATGATATTCTCAAATCAATGAGAATGTGTGCATAGAATAGCACCTGCATTCTACCAATACATTTGACGGTTTGGTCAAGTCCAAACAAGTGTCACAAATTATGGTTTTAAATTAATGAGAGTACACCCTAAGTAGGTACGCACTACACCTGCTTTCCCCTAAAGTGGTGTACAGAGCATTTATTAAACACCTACTTTAGGACAGTTTGGTTCAGACCAAACATGTCAACACAAAATCTCTTAAAGATTGACTATCAGCATTATACCATGCCCCACTTAGAAATTCTCTGATAATATTCAGTTACGAATTTGCGAAATATAAATAATCTCTGCCAAAATCCCACTTATAGTCAGTTAGCAAAATTATTCTTTAAGCCTAGGTGAAAGTGTAACAATGTAACTGTTTTATATTTGTGTTCAGGTATTTCGATAGTCACCAACCTATCTCCTATGAGGACTACAACACGGTCACCGGCGAAAACATTCTCGGACTGAAAGATCCGAGACCAATCATAAAGTACGTGTGTTTCTTATGTAACGTGACTACTTATATTGTAGTTTGAAATATATTTTATGTTCATCATGGAATGATTTTTGCCCTGGTAGATCATGTAGTTCCCCAAGGATCGTTGTCTAATAACGTAGGGAGCCCCACTTCGGTGCGGTATCAGTTTGAACTGCTGACAATGTTCGAGATTAACTCCTATTTGAGAAATAACTGGCAAGATAGAACGCCGCGCCGTGTATACTATCGTGCTCGTTATATCCCAAGTATTACATTTACATAAAATATACTGAAACCTTTGTTGATCATATACATGTTAGCTCAAACAGATACTGCATCAATAGATGTGGTGGTGCCTAAACATAATTGTAGACCCTAATGCTAAGTGGGTTAATTAGTGCTACAAAGTATTGTTCTGTTGCAGTCATTGCCTGTCTCCGATGGCGCAGCATTCGGGAGACTCTGGGGAAATGACCTGTTCGTCTGATTCCAACGGCATGGTCATGGGCAGTAACAGTCCCGTGATGCCCCTCGGAGACTACCAACCAATACGTCTCACTGAGGCGTTGCTTAGCAAGTTAGTAAAGACTTCAACAACAAGAGTTGCTCGTTGAAGCACTAAGAGACATTTGCCAATAAATTCAAACAATAATTATTGGGGACTTGTTTTCTTGTCTTTAACCCTTGAACCACTCGCGTTTACAAGCATTAGAACTTCATAGAGTGTAGTCTACACTTATGAAAACTAAGTGAAATTTCCATTAACTATATCTCTTAGATCTATCAGTATATATGTATCTATTGACCTGTGCCGTCCTATGTGTTTTTCCTACGTGGATATTGTGTACAGAAAAAACTTTTCTTATAGATCGTTTAAATTTATTAGGCACAATGCTGAGATGGAAAAAGAGTTAATGAAGATGCATAGAGAGACTCGTTCTAGCAGTAAGGGGGATCGGGAGAAGAACTCAAATGAGACTAGGAAGAAGAAGAAGGAGCACTTGGCGCGTTGCAACGCGTCCTACCATCCTACTAGTGCTGGCGCCACCAATACTGAACATCAGGTAACTACTTCTACTATTGAGCTTCTACGTGCTGAAAAAAAAATGTAGGTGCGAAACAGCGCCCAACGTTAAACAAAGGGTCCAAATGTTCTTTTGGTTGGTATTGGTCGTCGGATCATTCAACAACAGCTGTGTCAGCGCAACTAGCGTTGATTGGAAGCTGACTCATGCGTGCCACCATCAGAACAGTCTGCTCAAACTGATTCTTTTCTTAAAAGACCGGTACAAAATTATCTTACACGGTTCTTCCACATTATTATAATTCTTTATTTGTCTAAGAGACTATGAGCTGAGTGTGTTCCGTCTTTTCTCCTAGTTTATTTAATTTAGAGGTAATTATTGACGTATAAAATGAATACTTTGTAAAATTAACGATCATTTCATTATCAATACGGAGTTTCTTCGCGTACCTTGCTTGCTTTATATTGATAAATTGAGTGAATTCAAATAATTTTAAATTTGCAGCAACCTCACGGTGTAAAGCGTACATCTAAAATGATGGACGCTGAGGCCGGCGCTCACAAGCACCACTGCCCGTCGCCGCGTCAGGCGCGTCGCAATAAACGCACGTTGTCTACCAACGCGGCCGTCGCCCAACCATCTACCAGCGTTACCACGACCACTGTCGGTCAGTTGGCTACAGGTATATAATGTTACATGATTAACTATTATAGCTATATCCTATACTAGCTACTACCGCGCGGTTTCACACGCTCTGCTCACCTCCTATTGGTCGTAGCGTGATGTTTTATAGCCTATAGCCATCCTCGACAAATGCGCTATCCAACACAAAAGGAATTATTCAAATCATACTTGTAGTTACTGAGATTAGCGCGATCAAACAAACAAAAAAAAAACAAACTTCCGCTTTATATAATAGTATAAGATTTCTCGCTATTCCATAAAAAGTCGTCATAGTAAAAATCTAAATATTTGTAGTGATGTAGATTCCTATTGATTTCTGTGAAAATGTTTATGTATTTAATTAACTGAGCGTTGTTTATTTAGTATAGTTACTGTAAAATTCATTAAAATGAATTTTGCTATAGAAGCTTCAGCGTTTCATCGAAATTTTAATAGTATCGCAAAACCATTCTTGCGGTGCTAAAAACGTCATTATACCCTATTGTTATCTTTCCAGGAGGTTAGTCTTTACTACTATAATTTAGCTAGTAAATTGTGTTCCTGTTACCCTCTTTTCAACAATGAATATAACTTTATTGTATTAAATAAAATATAAGTAAATACAAGAAGTGGATTGATGGAAGTTTAAAAAATGCTTACAAAGCAAGGTTCCTAGTATAGCGTGCTTTATAATTCCTACTCACGTGTAAAAAGACGTTTGTCTACGTTAATTATATAAATATAATCATAATATGTATAATCATTACAGCATCGAATCATTGGCCAACCCCTCCTGCAAACAATATGAACACGTTCATCTTGGGCGTAGGAATCCCTCAGCAGATGTCTATAATGAGCCCCATGCCTCATCCTATGCAGGCCATGCACACTATGCCGGCGGTGCCAGGTGAATATCCACTTCGAGAGACACATCAAAAGCTTTTAAAGATACAATCCTTTGCAAAATTATTACTGTCTATCGCTTTTAACTCTCCACGTTAGAGATTAGAGTATTAATTAACGTCTGTATTAAAGTTACTTTTAATGGCGTTACAGGCATGTTCCCGATGTACTACGCGCCGGCGGCAGCGCCGCAACCGATGCCAACAAGCTCAGCGCATCATCACATTCCTTCAAGCAGCCAGCATCAGTTTCCTGCACCCAGTAAGTTTATGTTTCCCATTTATTAGTTTCCATTAGTAAAAAGTTCTTAATAAAAAGTGTCAGTGATACCACCGAAAGATTCTCGAAGTAGGTCAGCTGTGGAGTACTTTAAACCAGCGTGATGAGATGTATAAATGTGGTAGAAGTTGAAGAATGTAAAGATTGCGGTAGGCCTACAGTTTTTACTCACTCTCATGAGACAACGGTGTTAGTTTATGTATGTGTGTTTACATTTTTATGTTTTAACTAGCTGAGCCCGCGACTTCGTCTGCGTAAAATAGTGACTCACAGCTCCTCCTCTGTAGTTGATACAGGATAATATATAGCCTTTATGTTGACCCGACCTATTAGTAATATTCATGCAAATTTTAAATAAATCCATGTAGCACTTTTTGAGTTTATCCCGGACATACATACAGACAAACAGTCAAAAAATCTAAAAACTATATTTTTTGTTTTGGTATCGACTGTAGACCACGCCCAAGGAATTCTTTTTTTAAAAATATTCTATGTACAGTTTTTACTTGCCTACGATTTTATTATAATTATGTATAGATGCTTCAAAAGGTTTCTGCAATTCTTATTCGCTTTTCTTTATTACAGTGATGATGTACAGCCAGCCAATGTACGGAGCTCCTTTCATGTACTCGCCAATGGCCCAACAAATGTCTTACCCCATGCAGCAATCTCACATGATGGCACAGTCCATGCAACAATACACCAATACCATGAACCCTTTAGGGTTGACCAGCAGCAACTATGAAGAGGTATGCAATCAACCATCTCTAATCCTTACTTGCACAGTTTTAGTGTTTTACACAATCTAGAAAGAACCTCACATTAATTTTATTTGTACTATAATGCTTTGAATGTTTTGTTCACAAGCAAAAAGATTTCGCTAGAATGGTGTGACCATGCGACCCCCTAACATAGTTGGGGTACTTCGATAGAACTCGAGTGCGTCGCCGGTGTTTTATTGTTGATCCACGTAATGCGCACAAATATTCGCTACTGGCATTTGAAAGTTTCCTGCGCTTGATCGAGTCCTTCACTAATGATGAATATTTTACATTTGTATCGCAAGTATTTTACGCTAGTGGATATCAAAGTAAATAAATATATTAATTTTTATTTTACTATCTAGTTGCTTAAATGGTTTGTTTATGAGAAGAGCAAGGCAAATTTTGAAGCGAATTTTAAAATGATAAAGATAAACGTGGAGTGGAAATAGGGAGCGTGCACGAGTCGATGTAATGGCCATTAAAGTGTGTCTAAATTAAAAAAGAAATGTTACTTTACCTTCCTATATTAATGAAATATTGTAACCTTTTTTCTTTTATTCTTCTAGAGTATTGGTAATTGGAATTTACATGGCTATTCTTGGGAATTGGTTGTTGTAATGTATATAAATTAATAATTAACGCTTGGTTGGTAAATAGGTAATGTTACGTCACGCTAGGATAACAGCTACAGAAAGTGTTTTTTATCCGCAGACGTCTCCGGTATCGGCTATTGTGCTGCCACGTAAAGTTCGTGCACGTTTCCTATAACATCAAACATTACTTGATATCTTTCTTCTGAAACCTTGCTTCTTCCTCATGTTTGACCTGCTGTTCGGCATAGTGTAGGATAAAATTTGATAGTAAACTGATTCGCCGTCGGAGGCGAGATAAACTCACCGTTGTTGAATACCTGCACAGGCTTGTAAGCCCAGTTTAACATTGAGGCCAGGCAAGGTGCAAGGCAGTGTGTGGCGCGACAAGAAAAGAGCAGAATCTCAAGGCACATCTTCAAAAACAGACAACGGCAGCGCAGATAGTAACTCATCTACGAATGCGTTGAATCGGGTATGCCAACAAAATCTTAGCGTTCATATTATCTCAACATGATTATTCAGTTACTGCATTACTCAAAGAATGATTGTTTATTTTGATTACTTGTGATGGTGACTATGTATATCTCAAGTAGATGTCGAAATAAGAGATCATTATTGATAAACAAGTCAAAGTCATTATCAGTCTTTTCACTTTACTAACCTGTTACTTAATGATCACCTCGCCGCCATTACATTTACTCAAATATAAATAATCACTCTTGTACATAGTGTAATGACAATGGCCAATCGACTATTTAGTCTTGTTTCTTTCAGTAAGCTCCCTCTGCTTATTTGTTTTGTGCATGATCAGCTTCTTGACATTTCCTGTTGGAACGTGTAGATTTTTCTTTTGCACTTTTTAAATGCTTTTGTAGGTGTCGGGGACGCAAAAAAGTCACAGTGGGAACGAGAAGTCTACGATATACTCGACTGACATCAGATCTTCAAACAGTATGAGCGCTAAGGTTAGAGCTGCACTCGTGGCTCATATTTGCAACTATTTATCTATATTTAAGTTTTTATGTCACTCTTTCTTCCTTTTTACTAAATACTCTCGACTTACTCAGTGCAAACAAGGTGGCGGCGTAACAATATAATAAAAAATAAATACTTGATGCTTTTTAAGCATTCAAAAGAGGCAGGTCCGTCGAGACGTCAGACCGCTTCTCAATTCAATACTTATTCTTCACAACTTTCCATTTTCTATCTGTTAAGAACTTTAAATGGAGTTATTGTTAATGTTAAATATCAGTTATGTAAACGTAGGTTTATACCTAAACAAGAGATTATTCTCCAGTTTGTGTCAGTGTAACTGTGATAATGTGTTATTGTAACGCGCCAAATAATAATTTTGATTGATTAAAATAATCAAAAAACCACGATACACTATTTTTAATATTGACCACAACACTAGGTACACAGTGACCTACAGAAACCACTGCAGGACACGAATAATATCTATGTAATATGTTTGTAATGATCCTTTTCAAATGTACTTAGCGGTTGTAATGAACCGTAATGATAAGTATTCTTACGACAGCCTAACTTGGTTACGCGTGCGTCGAGGCAGGATTGGCCTAGAGTCAGCCATATACCTCAGGTATGAATTTCGCAATTCATCTGCTTGATACAAGTTTAAAGAAAGTATTCGTTTTAACTATTGCGATCTGAAAGCATTACTTGGCAAGTGATGCCGGGGACGCGGCATAATGGAACTTGAAAAGGTGTACCTAGGATCCTTCTTAGCTAGATTAGAATAGACTGATAGAATAAATAGTGAATTTTAAATTAGTATGTGAATTAGCTTGTATGTTGTCTGCGAACAAAACTATGGCAATGTCTATATGACGTGTTTCCCTTCAGAGCACAGAGGCTGTGCCGAACACTCCACCTTCAGCCAGGGAGAGTCGCCTCAGCAAGCTGAATCGGCTGGGCAACAGCGAGGAGACCCCCGACAAGACTGATGGAGAGTCTAGCTACTCGTCCTTCTACTCTTCCTTTTTTAAGACTGAGTCCGGTAGTGCCGAGGATAGTGGTGACGGCAAGAATGGCAAGGACAAGCAAGCTAGGGTAAATATCACTTTACATCAACTTCTCAGCCGAAGTTCATTGATTTACATGAGCTCCTTCCACAGATCTATTGACACTTGAGACTACGTAATACCGTTGCCCCATCCTATCACAACAGCCTGTAGTGTGGCACCTTCTTCCCTTCCCTACTACCCTTCCTCAGACATTTAGACAGAATATTTGAGATGTTAGGATATTCGTTAACTAGACGTCGTCGACAGTAGATCAGATCAGGTTCGCAAATATAAGGATCATGAGTTATCGTAGTTCCACACAAAGTATTGTTCATTTTTTGCAGGTCACTATTTATGAGTGTCATGAGAGTGAGAGTACGATTTGTTATGAGAGTGTTACTGTTTTATTGTTACTGATAAATGTTTTTTCTTTTTCTTTTGTTTATTCAGACAATAAAAAAGAATATTATTTCAGAGCCCCATAAATCTGACATCTTCATACCATGTATCTCACCCAACGAAGAAGGTTGCCAGAAGGAAAATGGAACCGCCATGGTTGGAACAGGTACAACACTTTACAAGCATCCTAAAACTGAAATAGTATTTTAATAGAGTACAAACAGACTCACTAATTGACACGAAACACTTTCCAGGTATGCGTGACATCAGAGTTAGTCTACAAGTACCAAATTCTTACCAAGTCTATGGAGGAGACTTTATCCTCTGACAAACAGAAGATGAAAACTCTGGAACAGGTTAGCTATATAAATATACAGTTAAATAAAACAGATAATGCAAATATGGCAACCTACTACTTTCAACTTTATTATTGTGATATTAAGTTGAAAATCGAATGAAAAAGATGACAGATTTTAGTAGATTGATCTGCTGGCCACTTAAAACTACTATAAGGATAACGATTGCATAAAATTATAATTATTTCCAGCCTTCACTAGTGAACGAGCAGCTGAGCCAGTTGTACCTAGACCTTCAGCTGGAAGGTGCTGCGGCGAGGCTGACCTTGGAGGAAGGTATCACTAGTTCCAGTAGTTCCGGTGAAGAAACCACCACAGTTACAAAGGTATTAATTCCCACTAAAAGTCACTGTAGTGCAATCTATGTATGGTTTAACAGCTTGCTAATAAAATTATTATGGATCTTAAACCACCACTTTACTGTTAGCGAGCTATAATTTACTGTTAGCGAGCAAGAATACTCTAAGAAGGTTTCCATTTTGTGCATTTTGCTGACTATCCTACGAGACTGAACTTTATTCGTCTCATTTTATTGTTGAACGATTAGTGCAGTAACTAATAGACAACAGAATAAAAAAGAAATGTGCGTTAGTTCATGTACACATTGTTATCGACATTCCCTCTCAACGACACAACACAGTCGCAAACGTAAGGCTTTTTACGGAAAATAAGGCTGCCTTTGCTCATGAGACTATTAAAGACTTGTTTTTTTTGGGTAGCCTGCTTCTAACAGAGCCTCAACTTCTGGAAAAAGCGAAGGAAAGAGACATACGGTTAGAATATTTTATTACACATCGTCCAAACATGAACACAAAATAATTTAATTGAGGAATGTCATTGTAACAGCTCATAACTTTCCTCAAAATGTCTCTTAAGGCAAAACATAATATTCTATCATTGTTAGTTATACGCATTATCTATTTTTTCACTAACATCACCTTCATGTGACCCTTCCAACACTTTTTGCGCACTGCTACATTGTTAAACGTATACAATTTCATTTTTAAGCACCAATCACGCCTAGTTCTGCTGTCTAACAATTATTATTTATTTCATATAGTTTTTCAAATATATATTTTATCAAATGCACCAGTTTTTCTTACACTCTCATTTCGTATGTATTGTGTTCTATTGGTATAACTATATTTTACTAATGCCTTTTACGTTAAACCTTAGGCTGTGAAAGAGCGTAAATTAATATTGACAATTGTTACTTTTCCACAGACTTCACGTAGGAAACGGGAGTACAGCAAGTTAGTTATGATTTACGAAGAAGATGCGCCGTTGCCGCCGCCTGCTGAAGACGTCGTGGAAGGGGGTGAGGCATCCAGCTCGTCCACTTGTTAAATTAGGACCGTCAAAGGTCTAGTCGCAAGTCTTCGTCACCCTCGTCACATTATGTCGTAGCAATGCACAATAATAGTAAATTAATTTGCATTTAAGCGTCATGATAAAACGCACGACGGTTCAGGGAATATTAAACTTCAAATATTCGTAAATAGACATATAGTTGTGTGTAAGTATGAACACGTGTCGTAGCTGTGTGTTTGACGGGCCTTTCTGTACTATGATGAAGATATCGTGCTTGAGCTCGTGTCTTCGAACCCAGATCTCATTCAGTTCTCGAGTTAACTTGAATGCAGTAGATGTGTGGTGTGATTCTAACTGTAACTTAAGTCTCTGTGTTACATTTATCTTATGTATAGACTGCCATTAGCACCAAATAATAGTGATCGTAGACTACTTTGCTTAATTGATAAATATGGAAATTGAATTATTTTTGTTACGATTTTGTTGCGTGTGTTATTATTTTGTTTGTATTTTATGAAACAGATTCTAATACTGAATTTTAAAATATTTGATATAAACGTGAGTTAATCTGGGAATGTTAAGAATACAAGATTTTGTTTGTCCTATTCGAATCTGTGATACTCAAATTCCTATTACAGATAGGTAGTACAACTAGATAAAAAAGAGATTTATTAATATAATTATGTATCTATGTCATTTAATGTAAATGACTTATTAATATTATTATATTGGGGAAAGTAGTGAACTCAGTTTGTGCGCTTATTGTATCTTTAGTTCTCTTAACATTCCGTTTGGTGCTCTGTTGCTCACAATGGCTTGAAAAGTATTTTAACAGGGTAAAGTATTATGATGAATCAGAATCAAATATTATATTTTCATAATAGGCAAGTTTCCGACTAGTCAAGATAAATACTTTTTTGCAAAGTCAAAGGATATTTTTTTTTGATTTTGTAGGTACGAGATTGGGTGCTGTGACATAACAGCATACAGTTTTCTTATGTTTCTAAGAAAATACGAAAATTTCGTATTAAAGAAAATGACTTTTTTTTTTAATTTTACTGTATTATAAAGTCAAATTACTGACTAAGGTATTCTATGAGTTTTGTAGATACCTACAAATCTTCGCAGTCTGTTTGTTGTTATGTCACAATAATTCCACGTCAAGTACTGCCAAATAATGCACTCATTTATTTAAAAATATTTGAAAATTAAGTAAATTAATTACATGATCGAATCAATTAATGAAAGTATGATTATTTTTAATATTCTATTGTATTAATTGGTCGAAATAATGTATTGTTGACTGTGGAAACTACCCTACTTTATTTATACACATAAATATATATATATGAGCGTTATGTTTATTGAATTATACTTACAGTCAAAGACTTATTGCATTTACTCGATCACGCAAGACATTGCTATGTTGGTTGTGCGTTGTCCTATTTATGCATTTGTAATAAATAAAATAAAGAGCTGGACTGACTTGAACGTATTGTGATATGAAAGAATTGTCAGATTTATTATCATTTGTTGTATACTTAAGTGGTAATTTTTGCGTTATCGAGTGATTATTATGTTAAACGTGTCTTAGTTTTATTTTATGAAACAAAGTTGTCAAAATGAACCCATCATCGTAACAGGTGCCTTAGAATCGATCTTTAAACTATTGTTCAGTGTCAATTTAATCGATCAAAATTACAATAAATTGATTTTATTTTGTTTCACGATGTCATTAGAGTAGGGTGTGTTGATTAAGCTGTTGGCAAAAGTCCGTGCAGGGTTTGACATTATCAACTTTTGTTTAGTATTTCCTACTAAAAGAATAACAATCTTTTTGAGATATCTCTTTATATTTAAATCGAGTTTGTAATTAAATAATTGATATAATGCATTTATTATAAATGGTATATGTGATTGACGAATTGATGAGTTTTTAATGTGTTGAAAGTCTAGTTTTGTATGACTCGAAATATATTTTTTAAAAGAGAAATTTTAAAAGTTATGGAATTGTCGTGCGGTCTTTAAATGCCAAGGTTACCAAATTGATGTAGGTTATAGAAAATTTGAATACTTAAATGAGGCATTCATTCCTACGTTGAGAATCAGAACAGACAGAATAGGTGACTGTGGTTACCTTAGTCCTAGTTAAGATATACAGTAAGTGTGATTAACGTTAAGTTTGATACGATAGTTATTTGTAAATATTATTTGTGCACTAACGATTACAATAAGTTGGTGTTTACTATTATGTTAAATTAAAGTTATCCGTTTCTAATAGAGACGTATAAGAGAATTTTATCACTAAATTGCAATATAGTATAGTATTCATGCTGTTTTATAGTTGAATACATAGTTTATTACATGCATAGATGTTTCTTTTTATTTTTATCTTGTGTGTGGTAACTGTCCTACCATTTTTGTCAATAAAAGAGAAAGAAATGTTGAATTTATTACATGCCAGTAATTTTATTCTTATTTTGAATTAAAGTGGCGATTAAATAGAAGCGGTATTTTTTTTAATGGTAAATTCTAGTTTCCTTTTAATAAACCGTGCCGTTATTTTGTCGTCTATCACTTTAGTCTTCTGTCTAATTTAGATTATTAAAGCTTATAAGGGAGGGGAGGAGAATTACGTTTTTCTTAAAATCATTGCCATTAAATAATTAATTTTATTTGCTAATTATTACGATTCTGAAAACGAATTGGCGTTTATTTTATTGATGTTGCTTATTATTTTTAAAATAATTGTATTATGAGAAAATTGAAATGTTACGAATAATTCACCAATATATGACATTTCTGTGAAATAAATGATTGGAAAGTGAATACATGTTGTGTTTTATTGTAACTTAAGCGCGTTTCTTTTTTATTTTATCAGTTTCAGAGATATCGCGGGCATCATTTTGAATTAACCAGTAAAAGTTAAAATAAAGAGGTAGTATTTTTTTACGAATCAGTACTACCTACAAGTTCTAGGTAATTTTGTGTTATTTTGAAATTTTGCTCTCCTACAAAGACAATACAAAAATCAGATTAAGTAAAATTTTCCATTTTTTTTTGTCTGTAATTCCAAGTTACAGTCCGCCTAATGTAAGTGTAACTTTCACGAGTGCTGAGTGAACTAGTGCGGTCTATTATTTTGCATATTCTAATACTGTTATCGCTACTGAGGATATGTATTCTATGTTCAGAAGATGCCTGCGGTAAGTTTAAAAATTGCATGATCAGACGATACTTCATTTCTAGGTGACAAGGTACGAGGTATCTTGAAACTATCATTTAATTTTGTGTTTTCTTCATGATCGGAACAGTTGTTGATTTCGGTTTCTATTTGCGTTTGGTGTTGGTACACCTTATTGTTTTGATTTTAAATTTAGCTAGAGAAATAACTCTTTTTATGTAAAGGTTGTTCTTTCGCGATAGTTTTACTATGTTTCAGATTACTATTTTCCAACGTTAATATTAAAATTTCCTCATGAACACTATTCAGTCGAAAAGTTGATTCATCTATTCTATCCTGCAGCGATTTAATTTGAGTTGTCTTCATCTTTCGACATTTCTGGCCTGGTATACTAATTGTTGTGTAGTTTCAAGTTTGATACGTGTTATAAGTATAATCATTGTCTGACTTATCTAAGAAATTCATATTTGTAGATTCACAACATACATGTTGAGTGTTGTGAATTTACGAGTTCACGTTTAATATTGAGGTCTTGCAACATTATAACAAACTTTGTAACCCTGATTTTATATTATTTTTGCTACTCATTACTAGATGGCGCTGTTATTGAATTATTTCCAAATCGTTAAAATAAGTAACAGAAGTTTTATGTCTTTGTATTCTTGAATTTCGAGTTGCACTATTTTATATGGCAATAGGCTCACCCCTATTACATGGGGCTCATAACATAAATAATGAAAAGTGGGTGTTATATTGTACAGTGGCATAATGTGCACCTCTTCGGGGATAAAAGGCGTGATGTTATGTTATGCTATTTTATAATCTTCAGGCAAAGAGTACCTATAGGGGAATCTTCAGGTCACTTTGTTGACAGTTTTAGAAATGTCAGTAATAATTAGAAATTATCTCGTTTTAATTAATTACGAAAATTCAGTCACAATCAGTAGGTAGGTAGGTAGGTACTTCTTTAAAGATTAACATAGTTATTTTGAATATTATTGTAGACTTCCTCAGTAACACTACCGGGGCTAGTGCGTACGTCCAGTATGTCCAGTTTAACTTAGCGTATACCTAGTATGTCCCGAGCGCACGGCGCGTCTCGTTCCGCGCGCGCCTCAAAGTGCCATCAGACCACCACAGATGCGGCCCAATACGGCCGATGCCGATTCGGAGTCGCGGAGAACCTAACGGGTAACCGGGGCTCCGACTCGACGTGCAGGAGAAGGAACGGGGTGGTTTTTAGTCAGTATGAGTCTGACACTCCCTCCCGCCTCACGCAGGCGGGAGCAGTCATTCGATGATTTTCCCCCCTTAAAAAAAATACCTAGTACGTTTCTAATGTGCAAAAAACTATAGGTACTATTTAACAAATTTATACATGGACCACGGTTAGAGCACTTATTGTTTACTGGTGCGTGTGCGTTGAGAAAATGTATGTTTTTATCATCTCTATTTATTCACCTTCTTACCTTTAAAACACTCTTAATTTCCAAGTTGGTACTAATCTACATGCCCAATTTATTTTACGACATAAACACGACATACGAGACATACGAAAGAACTCAATAATTCTAGTTACTGATAAGACCAACATTATATGCATCATTGTAAAATTATAGACGATTTCCAAGACCGCGGGTAATTTTGACCTAACCCCCATGATTGAAGCGCCGGGTTGAAGTTTATTTTCCGTATAGGGTGTTCAAATTTGTCAACTTAACCGTGATTGTTTTCCACGAATTTGGGCGTTCAGTCAATCATTAGAACTATTCTCAAAATAATAGATAATAATAATATACCAAAATATATTTCGTGGATATATTTTGGTGGTGCCACAGAAATATATTTTATAGCTAATTGTGCGGTCACTGAAAACTTTATATTGAAAATATGTGATAAGCACAGCCCACCTTACTGCTTACCATACTAGCTATGGTATAGGTGACTTAACTCCTTTTTTATGGAATAAGCCGGAAAACGACCAGATGGATCACCTGATGGTAAGCAATCGGTGCCGCTCATGGACACCCGAAACACCAGTGGTGTTACAATTGCGTTACCAGAATTTGAGGATTGTTGGAGATTCGGGAATTAGGGAGATAGGGTAGGAGGGTAATTGGACCTCGGGTAACTTCACTCCACACGACGGAACACAACGCAAGTGTGGCTCCGGTCGAGCCGAAGCATGGCTCTCCCACACTTATTTATTTTATGACCTTTTCTATTTAATATTTTGTCATCTTTAGGTTTTTAAACATTAATAAGTATTTAGCACACATTCTACACTATGATATAAAATAACGAAGACTTATCGCTGTCAAACCCGTCTTAAGTTACGGTACAGAGCAAGTTGATTGTTCATTACCTAAATACGACACTGTTCCATAACATCCGTCAAACATACACAGGTGTACTGTAAAACAAGGCGCACTGACTGTTATCTATTTACAAAAAAATACATAATCACTTCTGCTTCACAGCTCGATGGGAGCTACCCATGCGCCTCGGAAGTTTTTAAAACGTCAGAGTTTAATGTTTCGCTACGTCACTCACATTATCAACGGGCATATCGTTACACTGTTACTTACATTCACTCACACAAACGCAGGTTTACAACACGCGCGCCTCTACCTGCGCAAGAGTCACATTCCGTCACCCACCTCCGCGATTGGCCGCCGAGCCTGCGAAGGCTTTGGATAGCGCTTCAAATTTTTAAATTTAGAAAGTTTGGCTCAGTGTTTGTGATTGGTTTTGTACGAGGCATAATGACGGCAGTGTTATAAGGTGAGCCTTAACTTTGTATTTAGTATTAGTTAAGAAGTGCAGTTAGTTGAACAGTGTGAAGGATACATTTTATCCATTTTCTCGAAGGTTGGTACTTTGCTACTACATAATTATGGTGTATACTGTGTAGACTATGTATTCGTTAGGGAGGACCGTAATAATACCTGGAAACGGCTTTTCAATTTTGAATTTCTGTACTTAAATAATTAATACCTCTTGATAACGTGCTTTTATAGATACCGTACCGTCAGAATCTGCAGATTTATAAAACATCTTAGCGTTACAATCTATCACTTACGCGATGACTAATCTGCAAAATTCTGCGAAAAAAATCCCTACAGAAGGTAAGTTAGTGGTGCAGTTTTTTTAGTGGCTTTGTTAAACGCCGTGACATCACAGTTGTCAAGGTATTCGTCTTGTACTTTAATGGTCTGCTACTTGAATTGTTGACTTCATGAACGTTTTGTCAAGTCCGTAAGTAATTACTTACCAAGAATCACGAATGCAATGCGACTGCCTCATCAGACAGGGAATTCCCATCAATGTCTATGTAAAATGACATATTGCGCATAAAAATTAATGCTTGTATTTGAAATAACGTTTTAACAAACTATTGGTTTGGGCCGCTAAAAAACTTGTCGTATATACCTACATACCTCCTACTTTCAATTTGGTAAAAATTACATCAGACTTGTGCCTTGAAAATACTGGACTGCAAATGTTTGTGGCAAAACCTGTTACATGTTAAAATAGTACACAGTAACGCACAGAAGAAGAAGACGACAAATATGAAGTGTATGAAGCACAGGTTTACTGAGTAGGTACCCAAGTAAACACGTTGTAACATAACAGCGAAATAATCTGGGCAATGCGACAATGATCTTAAACTAATTACTTAGACCAGAGACGGGAGTAATATTAGCACTTTATCTGTTTAACAACCTTGATTAGAACGTTATATTAGTTACTGTAGAGTCACCGGCGCAGTTTGCTTTGTATGGAGATTACGAGTACATCAGATTAAATGTTCCGGGCACAGGAATGTTTCGACTAGGCCTTCTCTGAAAGCATCTCATAATATACCTCTAAAACATATATTATTTTACAAATTTAAAAGCAATGCAGATGAATGGCAGCAGTTTCATGTCAAAGAGCATGGCATTTTTTTAACTCACATGTAGCAACTTTTATTGGACAAGTCACAAGCGTAAATCTAATAACTTTAAACGAGCAATCGATTCTTGAATTATATATCGATCCCGCAACCAGCTCCATCGATTTTCTTAATTTTTTTTATACAGGAGTTTCGGGGGCGATAAATCTATATAGTTAGGTTTGAATGTTAGAAATTGTTGTTTGGTTTAAATAAAAGCCCAATATAATACCTTTGCCATCCACGCAGTACATTCGGGATCAAATCTCTGCTCAAATGTTTGTTTTAGTTTTTCTATTTTATCTTTTGTTCTAGATTTTTTTTTGTGTTTTTTTCTTCCACATTTTTCTATATCTTTTTTTTATTTTCTAAAAAAACTAAAATGTACTAAAAAGACACTGAGCAAGGCCGGTAACCCAGGTACTAAAATTAAAGAGATCAACTAGAGAATTTTGGTTAAACACATTGTTCAAGATGATAGCAGGTCTCAGTACTAAGAAAATAACATGAATCATTGATTGTGATGATAGACTTCCGTTTTCCAAAGATATAAAAGTGACTCTTGGATAGAACCTACTAGTGGATAGCCCGAAGAGTTTACGAACGGTGAACACAATAAGTCCTAGGAAGCGGTGTTTGGTTTGAGTGCTAATTCAGAGTTTATAGCAGGTTCACACTCCAGGGTAGGGTTTCCCAATATAGGGATTGTGAGTCGTGACTCAGTGGCCCTGTCTGTACAACCATAGCATTATTCTTCATAATAGTACCTATTTTTAATGTTTATTGTTTGTATAGGTCGTACACCAGAAAATATTCAGTATACACTTCTCTAGAGTGTTAACTTAGACTCACATAGAACATGAAGATCATGGTAATGATACAACTGTACTACAACTAATGATAATGGTTGTGCTAATGGCGCCCAGATTAATAATATCGTGCAATAGGTTCTAATGTTTTTCTTTCAAATGATAACGATGTTGTTTTTATAATAACACCAGTGTTATTAGAATTATCTTTATTCTTCATGTTCACGTGCTATTTATTATTATATTGTAGACAAGAAATAATGTAGAATATAATTATGTACTAACAATCAATAGACTTTAGTTACAATAAAATAATTTCGATGTGAAAGCAATAGTTTCGTGTAACAAACGTGTTTCGTTATGGAGTGATACCACGGCCTCACAGAAGACCAACGTGAAACAACAATGTCTTGTGTTTCGTCGTATGAGTGAGGTTACTGGATGCCCAATTACCCCCCCCCCCCATCCCTTTCCTCAATCCCTGAATCCCCAACAATCCTCAAATTCCTAATTTCAAAAGATCGTTTACCGGGTTATATCATAAAAAAACAATCAAAATGTGTTTATAATCTACCTCTACATAGAAACGTACACCAAATTTTGCTTAAGATTTCTTATCTCTGCCAGTTTTAATTTCAGTTTATTGTCATTTCTGAACCCTTCTAAGTGCCACAAATAAAGCGTTATAAGTACTGTAGATACATATGTATGAGTACGAATAAAACGTCTGCCTTCCAGTCCCAGCAACACAGGCCCTTTCTTCACAGTTATGAAGAGCCAACTTTTTCAACGGCATTTAAATTTTTAGAAGTTGAAAGAAAACTTCGTACAACCAGAATTTTAAGGCTTCACTTGTGATTACTTGCTTATTGATCATTTTTCTTCATTGTTGGTGTCTGGGTTCTTGAAGACATTGTGCGTTCCAGTGTTGGCTCGTTTTTATTAGTAAACTACAAGTATTGCTAAAGTTTATAGTATTCAGAACCTATACCTATACCTACGTATTTTGTACTTGAGTTCGTTTCATTTAATATACCTAGTGTTGTAATGATTCTGTACATGTAATTCGCACGACGCCTTTCGCTTCGAGTTTCCTAGTGCGAACTGCTAAGGGGTGGACTCCCTCCCGGAGTGTGTTTCCGATAAAATACAATTTGAGTGTCTTCAAATTCCGGGTGAACAGGTAGGTTGGCGTGCTCGATCATCGGCCATATCAACGCTTACCAAAATACAAGTCAAATTGCAGGATACTACAATATTTAGTTCATCAAAATTATCGGGTTTATTTTTATGTCCCCTCTTACTGTTGGTAGCTTTACAATTAGGGTTCAATTTCAATACTTCTAGTTACCAATTAACCCTCCATTGGAGGTTCAATTATAGAACCCCGTGCGTGGGTTTCTCAGCACATGGCCTTCATTTTATAGAACAAATTACGGTGAAAGGGTAAAGGGTGCCCTTTGAAAAAATGCAATTTAAAATATTTAAAATAAAAGTCGAAGGCAAATGAATCTATTAATATTGTATTACTTAGATGGAAACTACCGAAGGACACTCGTTATTTTTACCTTGCATACTTATAAGATATTCATTTCTATGATGACGTTGTGTTACTTAGGTAGTCTAGGAGTTAGTAGTATCTTTACTAACAACATACCTAAGACTGATACATGAATGAGATAATTTGAAAGTAAGCAGTGATTTGAATAATGAAATTGCTGTTGAAATCACGGCTATTATTGTGACTTTTTTTTAAGGGGGGAAAATCATCGAATGACTGCTCCCGCCTGGGTGAGGCGGGGGGAGTGTCAGACTCTTACTGACTAAAAACCGCTCCGTTCCTTCTCCTGCACGTCGAGCCGGAGCCCCGGTTACCCGTTAGGTTCTCCGCTGTGACTTGTGGTTTTGATATCAAGTTGTTTGAAATACAAATGAAGTTATGTCATTTACCGACTCAATGCTACTAGCGCAGAAGTCTTCTTCTGCCTTATCCCAAGCTGCTTGAGTACAATATGTTTTTTCGCGATTCCCTATCGCAACTTTATTGTTAATGTCATTCATCTTTCCATTTCTAGCAGTTTTTTCGACAAATGAGTCTAAACCAGTACAATAGAACGATAGATGCTCAGCAACCGCTAGTCCAACGAACTTACATATATTATGGAACACTGAAGCGTAGTAGTAGCTGGAAAGATTAGGTGTAATTGGGTAATCAAAGTTACGTGCCCCGAGCTACTCCTTCTGACATATTCTATCTGCTCTAATATTTATAAACTTGTGGTAGGTTCGCCGTAATATGACTGTCCAAGCCCTGCTGACATTTACAATTCCTACCTTTAAATTGCAATGGGGTATTTCCTTACAAAATTACCCTTCTATAATATGTTTGACAACCACCCTGTGTGGTGCGACCACTGCAACCACGAATGTGGTCTCATTTTAGAATTGAGTTATTATTAAAAAAACTCTTGAATTGCTTTAGTGTAATTATACAAGGTACGGCCAATAATTTGTCATTTTAAATATTGTGCCAAGCGACATGACTCCATTTAACTGTTCAATGTTTTGTAAATTGAGACCAGTTTACGAAGGTGCATTTGCTGTTCAGACAAGAAAACTTATCACTACGGCTGGAGTGCAATTCTATTATTATTTTTAGATATTCATGTACACATACTTCATAACTCCATTTCTTGATTACCATCGTCATCGTCGTCCATTGCTGGATTATGGGTTTCCTCTACATAAGCGGGGTTTGCTATATTCACCATACCTGGCAGATTGGTCGATGCACTAATGGGATCTCTGTCGTTTTGTTCTATTGCATTACGTATAATATTATGTTGCTTGTACAATTTTGAAAAATTACCTATTATTTCTTATAAAATGACAAATTAGCCTTTCTTATTTATTTTTGCATATTAAATTATGTTTTGTTCGATAAAAGGTAGAACCTAAGACCTAGAAAGGCAAGCCCTGAAAATCTAGGACGAATATTTATTATTCATGGGGCCACGTCGTTTTCTTCGCTATGTAAT